CAAAAAAAACCCAGTTTTTTATATGTGACGTCGAAATAAAGGCAGGCAATGAGTACACCACCATCTTTTCCTCAAAAAAAAATGGTTAAAGTGGTCAGATATTGCCTCAGATCGCACCACAGAGCATCTAGAATCAAAAAAATCTTTCGGGGCCCGCTTAAGGGCCCCGTAATTGTTTTGACCCACTTTTGGGGGGACCAAAATTGTTTTGGCCCCCCAAAAAATTGTGTTCTGGATCCGCCCTTGACAACAACAGACTGGTTCCGTAAAGATTGCATGCCACAGACTACATGTCTACGAGGCGGCTCCGAAACGAAAATTTTGGTGCTGCCAGAAAAAAATATCGCACGGACATCGAGCTGGATACTCACCGAGTTGACGTCACCTGGGCGCGCGGCTAAATCGGCCAATTAAGTGCTCCGGAGGTGTTCCGGTAGTTATTCCAGTGTAGCGTGAATATTCTACTCCATGAAGATGGACTCACTGCTAGTACCGCGCATGCCTAAGTACGATAATATGATATACTTAGGATTATAGGGAGAGAGACCTGTCACGTGCGAGGGATTAACCAAAAATATGGAAAAAGAGTCCGATTTTCATAGGAGTCGGATTTTCATAGACACCGGCTCATCGACAGTTTCGGATAACTTGATTAAATAAGTATTAACTGAACTGTAACCAAACCTTTTTTTTCCAAACCAAGACGCTTACATCATGTGAGCCAGTATGCATCTGTGCTTTATTTCACAATCTCCTTGTGAAAGCAGAACATTTGCCACAAAGCCTTGGTGTAAAGTAAGACGTCATTGTAGGCTCTACAACAATTCGAATTTATCTCCCAGAAGGAAATCAAGTTCTTGGGAACTTGCTAACATATATCTTTAGATGCACGGTCTCATTATGCCATCATGTGTGTGCCTCCAATATTTTCAAGGCTGAGTGTTGTATTGAGGGATTTTGCCCATTTCCCCCTTTTCTCTCTAACAAAAATGCTAGGTTTGAGATCAAAGTTTAACCGAGCAACGCCCATGCAATTTGAATAGCATGAGGCTCGGGTATTCATTAGCCGAACTGGACCTTTCACTCCTGGTTAATTGAGTTTGCGACTTGACAATAGACTTTCGTCGTAATGTCGAAAGTATTTGTGTTATTTCCCCTTCAGGCGCTGAGCAACTGAGTTTCCATCAGTCATTTTTTTATAGAAATGTTCATGTTTACTTATGAGCATGAATGTCCAATCGCTGAATAAAGATTTCGTGTTTTCGCCGAGCTTTGGAGCCACATCTATAACGGTCCATGGAATTGGAACTGAAGCGTTTATTCAAGGAACGTCTCTTAAAGGCTTACACAGGATCATATGCATTTCACCCAAAAGTAACATATTACATCATTATCAAACAGCTTACTTGGATTAAAGAACGTACTAATACTCCGTGATACTATTCAGTCTGACTTGCTGACTGTCATTTAAAAAAACACCATGAAATGTAGGTCAAATCCAACGATCAATCAAGTAACTGTAAATAAAGAGTACTATTGTATGATCGCTTTTCATGATCAACAGTTTGTGCAGGGTCTTGTGCTGAAACTTCAACAGGTTGTGTTTTGAACATTTGTCTTGGGATTTAGAGTGGAGTTATAGTTGGAAACGAACAAAATGCATGAACAGAAAATGATGCCTTTAAACGTCTCTGACCAATTTTACTGGACCAAACAATCATGCATGCCTAGATATTACTTGCCTTTTTGTTGATTTCTGCAGTTGCTGCCAACCATGAGGCCTTTCAGACTATCGTTTCACTGTCCGTGTTGAAATCAAGATGGGTCCGCCTTGAACAGAAATGGGTCCCAACGAACACGGGTTGGCAAGGCATGCCGTTCACACACAGTTTTGTACACGGGCCGGCTGTAATTTTTGAATTATCTACCCGGGTAGATCCACTCAACCCTGGTCCCAATCAGGGTTGAGTTCACCCGTGTAGAGCGATGGACCCGTTGTAGAAGCCGTGTTGGATTACTGATAGTGTGAAAGGTGTTCCTGGATTGTGGCAAATATTTTTCTTAAATAGCCCACTTCACTTTCAAGGCAGGCATCAAAGAAACCAGTTATTCCTACAGTAACAACTACAAATAACTAGTCATGAATCAAGATCTGCATTTCCTTCAAGATCTGTCGTCAGATAGTTTGGGCAAAAGTGGCTTGAGGATGGGACACTGGTACAACTATATGCAGTGCTTAAATGCTTTCACTTGAGAAGGTGTATTCGGCTAAACAAGTAAATTCAAGACAAACGATTAGAAAGAGCAAAATGTAAGGACAAACAAGGTTGTCTGAAAAATGCTTCAGCTGTTGATTAGTCTCTCATATTCATTAAAAACTATTGTCACTCTAAAAAAGAAATACCTGACACGCGATATGCACATTGTGGAGATTGCTGACAACACACGCTATGAAAAGTTGACGAACAATAAGGAAGCAATGCCATGCATCGGCAGCCATACCAAAAAAAAAATAAACAACTATTCGAAGTTTGGTTCTTATAGGAATGCGAAAACCATTGAAAAGACGCAGGCCTACTCAGAGAGACGGATATACAAAACGGTTCATTGAATAACAGTAAGCAGCTTACACACAAAAATATGTTATTGGAAACTGCGTGCAAGCTAATGCAGGGGCGAAAGTACAGTGGTGGAGAGCGTAAAAATGATTCTCACAGTTTTTCGTGGGAGATCCGCGCATGTTCTGTTCAAACATCCGCCATCAGTAATGATGCGCGTACAAGGCCTAAGCCAAGTTCGGAATTTCAACTGCGCATGTGCACGTTAAGATTTGACGATTTCCTTTGGGACAAACAGTTCGCCGTATGCGTGTAAAATGATTGTCTATTTCTGAAGTATAAAGCGAAACATTTCGAAAACTTTGGACAGCGATTTGGACACCGATTTGGCTAATTTGGCTCTGAAGAATTTCTGATAACATCAATATGCTGCAATTAGCTTTTCTGTTATCCTTCAATCGGGGATGAGTTTGTTAAGTTAAAAATCGTAACAAAGGTCTGAAAAATGCATTTCTTTCTATAGACGAATATTAAATATGAATTGGTGCTAAGCCAAATTCGGTCGCGTCCCGAGCCACGCCGTCAAGTCCGAGTCCAAGTTCTTTGGAACTTGCTAACAGTATCTTTAGATGCACAGTCTCATAATGCCATCATGCGTGTGCTTCCAATCCCTATTTAGAGACGTATTCAAGGCCGAGTGCTGTATTGTTGGATTTTCCCCTTTTTTGTTTATTTTTACTCTTACAAAATCCCTAGGTTCGAGTTCAAAGTTTAATCGAGCAACGTCCATACATATCGAATAGCATGGAGCTCGGGTATTCATAGTGTTTGAGGCTAATTGAAAATAGACTTTCGTCGTAATGTCAAAAGTATAGGCGCTGAGCAATTGAATTCCCATCAGTGGATGGATTAGATCTGCAAGAAGGAAGCTTGTTATACGGTCCTTGGAATTGGAACAAGCGTTTAATGAAAGAAACTTCTCTTAATGGCACATATAGGATAAGAATGAAAAGTTGCATGGTGAAGATAACAGCAAGGCAAGTTTGCGGTGGCACCATGTGACATTAGTCTATTTTGTGATTGTGTCGTGGTTCTAAGAAGAACCGGTCTCAACTCGACGTTTCGGACATCATACCCCGTCTCCTGACGACGGACCGAGTATGCTGTCCGAAACGTTGAGTCCAAATCGGTTCTTCTCGGAACCACCGCATACTCACAAATTAATTTCACATGGGGTGCCACCGCAAATTTACCTTGCCATATGAAAGATCATTATGCGTTTATCCCAAAAGTAACTTACCAAACTAATTTCAAAAAGCTTTCTTGGATTAAAGAAGAAGATATCACGAAATGTAGGTGATATCCAACGATCAGTGAAGTGACTATTTTTCTTTGGGGGGGGGATTAAGAGTGCTGTTGAAGAAATCGTGTATCGTGATCAACAGTTTGTGTATGGTTTTTCACTGTGAGATCGAACACTGAAACCTCAACACTGGAACTTCAACAGGTTGTGTTTGGAATATTTTTCGTTGGATTTAGAGTGGAGTTAAAATTGGAAACGAACGAAATGCATGGACAAAAAAATTATGCCTTTAAGCGTCTCTGGTCAAAACTGGGATGGTTATAGCAATTTCACTGGACCACACAATCGTGCGTGCATAGATCACTTCCATTTTTTGGTAATTAAACCAACAAGATTTCTGAGGCTGCTTCTAACCATAATGAAATACTTGACACCCGATTTTTACAGCAACACGCTATGAAAAGTTCACGAACACTTTGGTGCCATACATCAGCAGCCATACCCAAGAAAACTAACAACAATTCCAAGTTTGGTTCATAGGAATGCGGTTTCCAATGGCCATGCAATTGAAAGGACGTTGACCTATTCAAAGAGACAGATATACAAAAAATACGCTGAATCACAGTGTGGAACACATCAATATGTTATTGGTAATTGCACGCAAGCTAGTGCGGGGCGAAAGTGCAGTGGTACCGGCGGCTTGAAACCACCCACGTGACGGGCTTTTGACCAATAAGAATGGGTATAAACTGTCTGAGGTATTTCGAATTGCACTGTATATTAGCAGTTTGTAATTTCACTCTTTGAAATTCGCTTTGGCAGTGCAACCGTTTTCTGACTGCCTCATTGTCACCCTCACTGAAGAAACTAAATATCCATGTCAATCATAAGTTAGTTAGGACTTGCCGAATCAGTCCAGTGTTCTTGCGAATACGTAAATTCTCTAGTTGAATGCATAAAAGAATTGAAATTACAGAATAACAAAATACGGTGCTCATAATTAACCTGTCGCCGTTTGCGAGTTAGCCACGCTCCTTAGACAACCCTATGGAATTTTGGACATTAAGTTTTGTTTGTCTCAGATTTGGCGTCTTCCGCGTTTCTTTGTATATCATGTAATTGTACAATAGTTCACAAGGTTCGTTGATGCGATCCTACCGCGATAGGTTTATTTCAGAGAAACTCCAATTAATATTTCAAATTGATACAAAACTATACTTTAAAAACTGTCAACAATTCGTAAATACAACTTCAGGAAGACAAAAATATATATTTTGAATTAATTAGGCCACCACTATTAAGTCATAAAACGCTGCTAAGAAAATAAGTTTCATAAACTTTGATTTGGACAGACTGACATAAAATGATATGATACTGTAAACTTCTGAATGAAAAATGTTGATAGGGCCTGCTTAAGCTAAGCTAAGGATAAAACATGACGGTGTTAATTAATTGTTTTGTTTTACCTGGGTAGCCCCACCGGATGTCTAGGAACTGTTCTCCCTTGGAGGTCTAGGTGTAACTGTTGCCATTTATGTCATTACTCTGAGTTAGGCCTATTACAATAGATTGTGCACAAAAAGTTTACAAAGTTTCTATGCCTTGATAAAATACAACGGATGGTAATTCAAAACGCAGCTGCAATGTTAAGCCGGCGATTATATAAACTGTTTCGAATGTTCTAGATTCGACAGGAACATTACTTTCAAGACACAAAAGGAGTGTTGGCTCCATACACTCTTTCAACAACACTCTTTCTTTAACACACAGAGCATTTATTTTTCCATCCGCTCACTAATATAATACAATAAAAAATAGATTATAAAATGTTGTTACTAACAGCTGATCAAAATACACAGCAGCATATATCTTGTAAAAACAGCCTAAGAACTGTTTTATATCTAAAAATAAAAGACATACATTTATTTACCTCGTAACCCTATTATGGATTAAATACACCAATGAATAAACAAAGAACTAAAATAATAGCTGCTTTACCACAATCACTTAACAGTTCCATCCAAGACTGTGTGAAAGTTCAATGGGTTACCCACAAAACAATATGGAATACATGTGCGGTAGTGTGTGAGGCTAGGCCATGATGATAAGGGGGATGAGACATTTCAGATCATATTAACACAGAATGTATTTTATCTTTATGTAATAGTAATGAAGCCAACCACAAAGTAAGATATGTTCAGTTTTATTTAACATCAGTAAATGCCCCCCTCCGGTGGGGATAAGTGTATGAAATTAAAATCATGGAAAAAAAGGGTATAAAACAAGCATGCTTCACTGGATTCAAACAAAGTTTCAACTGAGATAGTTTTTAAGAGGTTAGTTTTGAAAATGGGTGTTTGCTTTGTCTTCTCCTACAAGAACCAAGAAACACCTCAAATCAAGAATAAGATGGGGAGAGACACGGTACCAAATTGGGTGAATGCAGTATGTGTGAGGATTCATTCCACACAAGAACTTGGATAACTGTGGAACTGGTAATCGTGGTAAAGCTGCAAGCCTTCGCTTAGTCGTTCAGTCTACTTATCCCATGGGCATTTTGTCCAGAGCTGCATCTACAGCTATGGAAGCTGTGACCAGTGACGAGGTTTAGTAGTAGAGGGCGGGATTGTACACCGTACGGCCTGCATGAGCCCTTCCATCACGCTGTGAAATAAAACACCACAAGGGGAGAAGTCACAAGTCTTGAAATAAAAGTTGTTGTAAATTGTACACCGAGGGTAAAACATTCAATATTTGAAATTTACAGTGTGAATGTTATTTCGATCCTGTAAAACTCACCGCTTCGTTTTCTCGGTAACGTTCCAATGCCTCGTTCCCAGTCACCACGTATGGTCGGATGAAGTCTTGGCGATTCTGCATAGACTGTGTGTCATATACAAAGAAAACTTAAATCAGTAAGTTATATATGACGTCTTAAATAATACATAGATATCCAAAGACAGTATATTGATTGTGTTCACGCCTATATACAAACACCTTGTCTACTTGTATCAGGATCCATTTTACCCCCCAAGTACATGATTCTTGTTTTCACGGATCATCAAGCCGCATGTAAAGCAACATTGGCTAAGATCTACTTTCCTGAAATCAACAACAACCTTCAAAACTTCACTGTGGATTGGGAAAGATCTTGGAAGGCTAGAGTTATAGATCCAGCAACTTGACAGGCTCTTTCTTTAGAAACCTCTCTAAGAGAAAGAACACAGTTAACCTGCCTCACCTGTATGTAAGGTGACTGGCTCATGACATGAGCGAGACGATTCATCCTCCTTTCTTCCTCCCTGTAGTCGGTTGCACTGTAGCCTTCGTCAGAGGACACGCTGCGATCTCCAAAATCGAAGGGTTCCCTACTAGATCGGAACTGTCTACTTGACTGATGGTAGTATTGAGCCTTAATATGGTTTTGACGCCTCATGAGCATGCAGAAACACATGGCTATTCCTGCTATCGCCAACAGGAGAACAACACATCCGACTATGATGAGAACTGTAGCTAAAGGTGAAACACCACCTGCAACAACGAAAACAATACAAAATATCTCCCAGGTGTTTTTCGTCCAAAACCTTCAGATTGAAAACGGAACGAAGTTGAGCAACAACTCATTCAGGCCTACCTGATCTTTTTTGCAAAACACAATATTATTGCAAATACTCCGAGATACATAAACTGAATGCCAGGAACTGTGTCCTCTTAATGAGAGAACGAAAGAAACAAGTTGTAATGAGATTAATATCAGTACCGAGGGTGTAAAATCAACATGCTACAAAAAGGCCCGGCTGTAAATATAGTCCTTTAAAATGAACGAACTGTCCATGACATTCTTATTTGTTTGGGAAAAAAAGGGATATTTAGGGAAACTAATTCGAATGGGACGTACCTCCTGGGGCTGCCGTAGTCTCTGGGGCTGTCGTGTCTGGTAGTGAAGTGGGTACTGGAGTCTCGCACTGCTCGCCAGTAAATGACGCTGGGCAACTACAAAACACAGACAGATTACATCCCACGTTTGTATAACATAATATCTTAATTTCTCAACGCGTATCAAAAATAAATATGTGTCTGAAGCATTCCCTTAAAGTTTTTTTTTTCAAAGAACCTGGGCCAGCATAAGGAGGAATTGCACCGTCGCCATTGTTCAATCAAATCATGGATGTGTAAGTGGCATATGGACTCGGTCAACATCAGCATTTTCAATTACCGATACATCGACCAACTAATATCAATTATTATCAATGTATCTTAAATCATTTGAAACACACATCAGTTCATGCCGCCTGGCATGAACTGATGTGTGTTTCAAATGATTTAAAATGTATGTATTGGGCTGATACACAAGTTGCAAAGCAAGCACGTGAGAAAAAATGCATGTATTGGGCTGATACACAAGTTGCAAAGCAAGCACGTGAGAAAAAAACATCAATATATTGATAAGTTTCCCCTGAACAAAACATAATAATAATACAAGGTGATTGTCCACATTCAGCTTTGGCCCTCTCTATCAATTTAGCTTTCAATTCATAATTAAGTGATTGGGCAGTGCAACCCATACTAAAATCATTCAGGCACTTTCCTGCCTTTTTGGTCATGTGCTGCTTTTTAAGGTTATAATAATCCAACTCCTTTCATGCAACTCCAGCTCCGCCCCCTAAATTACCTGCAGGTTAGCTGAGGGTTGAAGCCTGTCCTCTCGCACGTTCCGCCATTCATACAACCATCTTGTGTGCAGTCTGATAACAGTGCTGATAACAGAACCAATTACAAAAAGTGCAAATGTTCAAAATGTGCAAAATATCCACTGGTGGATTTTTTTCCCAATGGACCACTGCTTTACCGAACACTTTGTGCTTAGGTTGTCGCAGGGATTGCATTTCTAATTCAGGAAGTTTCCTCGGTCCATCTATTATTCACATTTTTGTCAAATACGTTAACACAGCTGTACTCAGTTCAAAGTCTGAGACCATTTAAATGATTGAGTGTCCCATGGTTCTAAATCGATTTCATATTTTCTTTCGTATTGATGTCTCTGTTTCGGAGGGTAACTGGAATATCAATAACGAAGGGAAATATCCAAACAAATGTTAAAAAAGCTTACACGCCTTCTAATCAAAACATTCCTTTAACCATTACAAGGGCGGATCCAGGGGGGCCAAAGGGGGCCATGCCCCCCAAAAACGAAACCAATTTTTTTTTTTTATGTGACATCGCAATAAAGGCAGGCAATGAGTACACCACCATCTTTTCCTCAAAAAAACATTGGTTAAAGTGGTCAGAAATTGCCTCAGATCGCACCACAGAGCATCTAGAATCCAAAAAAATTTCGGGGCCCTTAAGCGGGCCCCGAACCCCACGCCGTAATTTGTTTGACCCACTTTTTGGGGGGACCAAAATGTTTTTTGCCCACCCCCCAAAAAAATTGTGTTCTGGATCCGCCCTTGAACCATTTGTATAACACTGTGTTACATAGTAAATACTCATTGATGAATCCATAAGCCATACTAGGGCTGGGCATTTTTGGGTAGTACTGGTAGTAACAGGCAAGTTGGTTTGGGGAGAAATAGGAACTAAGACATTACAAAGCCTTACATGTGTTTGTGTAGCTGACAGAGTTCGGGACAAGAGTTATGTCTGTAACACCATCGTTTATTGTGCCACCCGCTGCAATCACATTGGTGATGACATCCACCGATGGTTGTTGCCCTTGGAATGCTAGCGCAATATGTGTAACCACACTGCCACTCTCAAATCTCAAAACTTGTACGGCAATCACACGGTTAGTCAAACTATCTCCCCGCAGTTTGCTCAGAATCTGGAAAAAGGAGAAAGTAGCGTTCAGATGGTAAACAGACGAGGTCAGTTCTTATTCTTATTGCAAATATGAAAGTCACTTCTGACATTGAGGTAATTTGCCTCAGGAATTTGCAAAGTTGAATACATTTCCACCACAGTAAATTTTGTAGTGGATATTTTGTCATAATGAATCACTATATTTTGTCACGATGAACCCATCTTTACTGTCATTCTTATGACAGGGACGACAGCTGGTACCAATTACCCGACAGAAGATGCCAGAAATTAAACCCGGTTCCATATCTGGTTCTATTACCTGAAAACCTTCTTTGCATAAACACAACTTTTCGATACTATAGGGAGACACAACTTTTGCACTGATCAGTGATAAGTAACCCACAAACAAATGGAAAAAAATGTGTCTTTGTTTACCCAACGAATACTTAAACTACGAGGCTTTGCGAGGGAGGTGCCTTTCTGCTTTTGCAGTCGACCAACTCGTCAATGATCAACACGCATACTGAAGTTTGTATCCTTGTGGAGTCATTTCTTTGTTCTCGTGTACTAAAATTTTAGAATGTGAAAATCTAGTTTCAAAATGCTCCTATTTTGACCAGAATTAACTTCCTGGGCTAAAATTCGGACTTCAGGGTACCGTGTATGATCAGATCTCGTGAACACATAACATATATATATACACACACAGGTGTGTATTTACCTTGATCTTTCAATACGACAACGGGTATAAGGTTCCAAAATTACCCGCAAAAGCACACCCCTATGCAAATTCCAGCCCATGGCCAGAACTGGCATATGGATTGTAGAGGAACTTGTTCATATCCCTGTGTTCACAATACCCAAGCTTTAAGCTCATTCCCATAGGTGCGTGCACTTAAATACATGAATGAAACAAATTAATGGTATATTACCGCTGAAATAACCCTTCTGGCAAGTTGTTTCCAAGCAGCAGCTGCTGGGTTACGGTAGGCACTGAGGAAAGGCAGGTCTAATGACATGACAAATCGGAGTGCGGACCCTCGTTCTGAAAAAACAATAGCATTTTTTTGTTTCAAATTAAATTTGGTATACCTGTTTTGAACAAGGGCGGATCCAGAACACAATTTTTTGGGGGGCCAAAAAAAATTTGGTCCCCCCAAAAAGTGGGTCAAAAAATTATGGCGTGGGGTTGGGTTTCGTTTGTTTGTTTTTTTTTTGGGGGGGGGGCATGGCCCCCTTTGCCCCCCCCCCCCCCTGGATCCGCCCTTGGTTTTGAAGTGATCTTGAAGATACTGTTTTTGTGAATTATAAAGCTGTTCTTGGAAAAAATGAAACGTAGAACTTGCATACTGTAATCATATTGTAATGATAAATACCCACTGGCATATAGCGAAGGGAGGGGGTGGTGTGGTAACAACAACAACCCATATGCACACAACCTGTTACAACTGATAATGTAATAACCAACGGATAATGTATCACCAACCGATAACGTCACAAAAATTGACAGATATTGTATCGCTAACCGATTATGTAACAAAATTGACGGAGATTGTATACTGAATGTTACAACGCTATCAGTCAATTTTTTTTTACAACGGTTACGACCGATAATGTAACAACAATTGACCGATAGTGTGCTAAATGTTGTTACATATCGGTTAGTGATTGATTACAGTGTCGGTTGATTTATGTGACATTTTCAGTTGGTGATACATTATCCGTCGGTTACATTATCAGTTGTAACACAGCCTGCTTGTGCATGGTGCGCTGTATGCGAAGGGTGGCTTAAACCATCAAATTTTGGGGAAATTGTATAACCCCCCCCCCCCCCCCCCCCAATGAAAAATGTCTGGCTACCCCACTGCAATTAGCTTGCAAGGTTTACTTTACACTGCTAGTGTTGCATGCATCTTTACTTAAGATGCATGGCACATCATACAAGTTTATGGCTACGGAGTTCAAATGATAGCCCTTCAAATTTACTGAGATATCATCTCGGGGTTCTCTAGACCAGGGCTGACATTTTCAACCCGGGTTGAAACTCTCGCCAGTGTTCATAAACTATAGTGAGCAAAATAAGCTGGGTTTGCACAAAACAATGTGCACCGATGCGGGGTTGAACACCATGTTGGAACTCAAAAACTCATCCAGGGACAGCACTGGGTTCGCTCAGGATTGAGTTCAACCCGGGCTGAGAGGCTCTAGTGTGAAAAGACGTATAAAAGATCTGGAAAGCTCAATTGAGAAAACCCTGGTGAAGCATTCCACAGGCCTCAGGGTTAAAGCCTTGTTCCATCAATTTCTAAGCTTGTAGAACACAGACTTACGTGTACATGAACCATCACTGTTAGTGAAGAACCCTTGATAACCATTGCATTCGCATGTGTAGCCCGCGGCATTCGTAGCCGGTTGACAGAACTTCCCTGCAGCATTTGGGCACAGAGAGGTGTCTGACAAACATGGATTGGCAGCTGCAAAACAAAGTAAAAAAAATAAGGAACAATGAAAAATGTTTCCAGTATTGTTACGTTAATGCCAATACAAGTACAGGCCTTACCATCTTAGTAAACAATAATATTAATAGGGCTGAACTTCAACTTTAACTTCTTGTAGCAGTTGAAACACACATTTTGCTCGTAGATTGGTCAACACATAACATGAAGTGGAAATAAATCGTGTAAACATGGAGAACTGACGTGAGTAAAGACAAGACAATTTCTTGGAGAATTTTCACACAAAGAGCTGTGAAACTGCAGCTTGCGTTTCCTGCCTAAAGGCTGTTTCATATATGATTGACGTTAAAGCCTAAGCGAAGCGAATTCGTGACATCAACAATTATTTAAGTTACATTGTGATATTTGCCGTACCCCTAACGAATTTGCTCTTATAACTCGCTTGAAGTATGAAATTATATGTCAAAAAAAAAATTTAATTCAATGTATATTGGATGCTATGATACACCTCATGAAATGAGTGGGAAAAAATCATGAAGGAGTTGTCAGCCTTCCATTTCTGGAATCAGAAGCAAATAACTTTGGATGAAACCAGCATCTTAGAAAATGAAACAATCATACTTATTACAAAAAGCAAGCTGTAGCTTTGGAACATTGTGAAGTCAGGAAAATCGTTTTTGTTTCAATGGGAACTCGTCGCAAAACCTTACCTGCACAAGTTGGTCCAGCAAAGGCGTACGGACATCGACACTCACAAAAGTCTGAGTCGAATTCACCTCCATTCAGGCAACTAGATGCAGACAGCGGGCACGCTGGTACAAACAAGCACACAAACAATGAGCCGGATGAGAGTTAATTAATGGCCATTGTAAGTGACAGGTGCCTAGGGATCATGCTTCAAGTCTCAATGCTAGCAACAATAATGCATACTCAGATCGTTTATGGCTTCGTTTAATGCGAATGTCTTTGCATGAACAAAGACATTCCCATTTTGGGAGACTGCCAATACAGGCTGAAACAGCACAAAAACGGCAGGGTGATCGGGTAGGCCTACAGTTTTCAAGATCTAAGGTTCTTTTGACGTATTTCAAGTGAGGCCCTTTGGTATGATATGAACAATGAAATAACAGTGTAGTTTGTGGGAAGAAACCTGGGAATGGCATTCCATGCAGGCAAGACCCACTGAATCAGGTACGGACCGAAAACATATTCACAATGAAGGCCCAAGCTGGATTCGAACCCAGGTCGCAGTGGTGGAGGGCACGAAAAGTGGAGCTGTGCCAAACTGATCCCCAAGGGACATGATTATGAGCATGTAGAGTTGGAATAAGGAACTGGGTATTATTGAGAGTTTTCTGATGCACAAAAATAGCATATCAAAACGTTCAGGAATACTTTCCAATCAGTTAAGAATTTAATTAAACAATTTAATTGTAAAGTGTGAATCAATGCTGGATAAAAGTGCGGTACATTGGGATGCAGTTGAATTGCATGTCTGTCATATGTTGCAATCACACCTACTTTTGTTGAAGTTTAATTAACTAATGTTAATCCAATAATGGACTGTATGTTATGTATTTGGCCAGAAGCCCCGCCCTCTGCGGACGTGGCTGACAACACCTGCGCATCTTGCATGTTCCAACTTGAACCGTAACACCTGCGCCTCTTTCATGTTCCAACCGTAGGCATCATGACCGTGTAAGGACACACTTGTCAGAAGGGCCTAAAAGATCCCCCTTTTCCCAGATTTTAGTGGACACATGGTCAGTTTTCAAGGATCACAAAAGTGGAGTTTTTCTCATTGTGTGAAAAGGAGATAACTAAGGTATCCAGAAAGTCTAGCAATTGTATACATGTATATGGCAAACGAATAGTGAATCAAACAATTAAGACAAACGTTTATCCAACCTCCAAGAAAGACATGGTGTTCTAGACTAATTTCTTTCCTTTGAAATGTATGGGAAATTATGCCAGCCTCCTGACAAAAATCCTGAAACCTTTCTTGATATATCACTGTAAATCACACATCTGTCTACAACTTTGTTTCCATACCTGAACAGTCAGCTCCAGTCCAGCTCTGTGCACACGAACACTGGCAAGTAGCAGTGTTGAGCGTTCCGCCATTCATGCAAGTCAAGTTGCAGTCTGCAACAAAAAATCTCTATCAGTAATTTTTTTTTACTGTACAACAGTCCCCTTCTTCAGTGGTAGGCTACTCTATACAAACAACTAATGTTTATGAATGAAAGGGTAAGAATTATTTCATGAAATTTTCATAGAATTTTCGTCGTGGAATCGAATATTCAATCAAATGGCAGGACTTTATTCAGGCGTTGTATAAATATCAATACGTGTATATATAGCTTATCAGCTTTTCTCAGCAAAACAGGTCACACTGAGATGTGATACCGTATAACCATGTTATAATGAAGATAATTGGGTCGATATAGTGCACAGTGGTCACCATTTTAGGCTGCAAATGCTCTGGGGCCGCAAGTTTACGATTATTCTTTCAAACAATTAATTGTTCCCTGTTGGATTACGTTTGCGATTAATCAAACGGCCGATTTTCTTGCGGAAAATGTGGGTTGAGAAAAACGACGGCGATTTACAATATCACCTATATATATCTCGATTTTGTCTAACTTAGGCGATTTCCATTGGGTTTTTTAAACCAATATCATAGGCCTATTCGTGGCGATATTGTATCGCTATGTTGTCCAACGCTACATGGAATGTTTGAGATTTTTGGTTTTAGACGTTTTGGGCCGTTCTCTTAAGCCTTTTGAAAGGAAGCGTTTGTTTCCACAAAGTGGTTTTCTATTTAATCAAATAGAAAATGCAACCGGATAATCGACACTTTGATAGTTTAATCGAGTAACTGAATAGTTCAGCGCTCTTAAAATTGTACATACAATTTGGGAGCTAAAGAGGCTGTTTGTATATAGCCAATTTTGTTATGGTGGTGTTTTTGTTATATATGTTCTACTGTATGTACATGCCTATGACTGGTCCGGTACTCACCAGTGCAGGTATTTCCCATCCAGTTTTGGTCGCATTGACACTGACACGTTCCGTCATTCGGTGTACCTCCATTTGCACAGGAAATTTGACAGTCTGAAAAAACATCACAGTACTTTTATCATAACAAAGTATCTTAAGATATTGTTAATATTAAAAAGGGTATGAACGGAGCTAGTGTGACATTTCGTTTCATGTTTTCAAAATGGGTTTTCTTTTGTTTGTTTTGGTTTGTGTACTACAAAACAAGATTTGAGCAGCTAGCCAGTTTTAATTTTGGTAGAATCCTTAATTTCCCAGGAGGGATATGCAGCTACAATTAAAAGCAAAACTCACCAGAACAGGTGGTTCCAGTCCAGCTACCTGTACATGAACACTGACATGTCTCACTATCGAGATTCCCAGCATTTGCACAGATCAGTTGGCAATCTGTAAATAAGGTTCAAATTCACCTCTTTCATATCATACCATTTCTTTTTATAATACCTTTTGTTACAGATTCAATACCTCATTCAATTCGACCTTACATCAGTTGCTGGGTTCACAAAAGAACTACGGTTCATCTCAGGACAAACTTCCACTTAATCAATGTACGAGTTTATTATTGAATTTTATTACAGGAGCAGATCTAGGCTTGAAAATTGCGTACATCAGGGAACTATGCCTTTACAGTTGTGACTACCACTAGTTTGACTGTACAGCTTGTTTGGACTTTACAGATTTCACACAGGGTGGAGGCTACATCACATAAGGTAGAGTAATTGAACTCTTTTCCAGTTGATTAACATGAAACGTCCTCTTCTATAAAGACAAATGTATTGTATTGTGTCAAATTGTTTCTTATTAATCATCTTAACATTTTCCCCCACAAAGATCGCTGCCTTGATTTGTTACAAGATCGATGCACCTAGTTCAAGGTGTGCTAACATCATGATTTTCCTTCAGTTTCCACACTGTTAAATAAGAGCAGTGATAGATTTTTCGGTGAAATATTCAATGATAATGTAACGAACTGAATTTCACTTTGTTGTTGCTTTTGTTCATTAGCCGCTGCCGGAGAGCACCGGCGGCGCATTGTTGGCGCGTTGGGTCACAGGTGCGCTGACCTAGTTCTTTTGTCTAGCTAAGCGCGTGATCCGAGATTGCCTTTTATAGATAGGTAAGTGAAAGTTTTGTGAAGCTGTGCTTGACTGCTTGTCTATGCTGGAGATCAGCAGTTGTAGTTCTGATGCAAGTTGCCCACAGAGTCTGTTTGGTGAAATAAATAAGAGCTTCTTTTTAAGTTAGAAATCCTGTGTGCTGTGTGTCCCCTTTTTTTCTTGTGAACACTCGACTTGGAGGACAAGAGCACATAGGTAGACAACAATCCGTATTTTTGAAAAGTAAATACAACACTCACCAGAGCATGTTGTTCCCATCCAGTTACCTGTGCATGGACATTCACAGGTCTGACTATTCAGCTGTGCACCATTTGCGCATACTAACGGACATACTGCAAACCAAACAGATGAATGTTTGTAAGCACTATGGAGATTTTAACAATGTCAGTTCACATTTGATTTGCCAAGAAATGTTAAACACTATAAGTATGTGACCACATAACTGCCGATGAGCCAGCTTCCCGTGATAATAAAATACTTGAAAGACTTGAAAAGAGGGGCACATGCTGAACATATTTCGTATCAAAAGGAAATGTTAGAGTTGGATAGTATTCAACAAAATCTTGCACCTTTTTAAATTTGTTCATAAAGGCCTCATTATGCCAATGATTAGTCAGTTCTGCTGACAAGGGCGATCATTTCGCTACATGAAATGGGCTACATGAAATGGGTTGTGCATGTATGATGACCCAATGAAAAATGAAACAAAGTGGTGGTGTATATTGACTTTGGAAAGTCCGAGAGAGCATGCATTCTTGATATTGACCAAACTGACAACTGGGAATGGAGTTTAACCCAAGACTCCCCTCTCCCGCCTCACTCATAGAGAGAGCGATAGAGAACGTTGAAAAATTCGTGTTGTGTGGTGCAACTGTCTGCAATGTCAGAGCGCCCTAATTCACAGAAAGAGGCAAGATTTCCTACTTAACAGACAAATATATTAACATAGTAGAAATCATGATTGGTGTTCAATTACCTGAGCAGTTATTCCCTGTCCAGTTCTGGTCACTGTCACATGTACACTCACAAGTTGTCTGATCCTGCACTCCATTATTGAGACAGGTGGATGAGCAAGCTGCCATACAGACAACAAAAAGGGAGCAATGAGTAAAATAAACCTGTGTTGCTTTATTTTTATTTTAACTTTAACACCCAAAAATGAGAGTGCAAAAATGCAACTGGATTTTTCTTGCATTTATTAGGTTTATTGGCATGTTGCCGTCATTTTGAATTTTAGAATGAGAACAAGTAACATAAAAAAGAACGAGAAGAAACAGCCACTGTAACTCGGAAATTATTGGTATGGGTGGGGTCATGTATAATTTTTTGCCAAAATCTGCAAATTCATGTCTTGTAAATATCAGAAACATGAAAACAAAATTGTAGTGGGGTAATTTTCACACGTCCAATATTGTCCTTATTTGCCCATACCTGAACATTGACAAGTACTGGTGAACAGATTCTCTCCTGGCGGACAGGTACTTAAGCTGCACTCTAAAAAAAAGAAAAAAAGGGAGAGAACCAAGTTTATCCAAATCATTGTCCATAACACTGCTCAATTTTTTTTCTCTAACTCAAATTATTTTTAGAGACTGTATCCTTATAATCAGCTCTTTAATGTTTTGTTAACACCAGCGAAGAATGCTACATGGTGAATTTCCATCATTTTGTTTTATCATATGCCAAACCTTTCCATTTCATTTGTATACTTGCACTGTGCCCAATTGGCAACTGAGCCCAATGACGTGATTTTCTGCACACAAGGCGTCTGTCTATTTCACGGAGACCGTCAGTACGAAGACAGAAGACAGTATACACGCACTCTGACTTCGAAGACAGAATTTTGAGAGGATTCAAATCTCCAAGCGTGTTGTCAAGTACGCTGAAGGTCAGCGTCAGTGCAACAGTTTCTGCTACAACTAGCACAACTTTTCTGCTAAATAATCTCTGTAGCGCCATAAAATTGGGTGCAAGTACACATCCAACCACAATGACACAAGAAACGGCAATCATTATATTGTAATTACCAGTACAGGTCGTTCCACTCCAATCGTTTATGCATGTGCACTGGCATGTCGCCTGATTCACATTACCACCATTCATGCAGTCCAATGCGCAATCTAGGTCAATCACATAACATTTAAACAATTAACATCTGCACCACATTGTATTACATTGTATGTAATTTACAACGAATCTATTAAACTGTGCAATAATTGGGCTTTTGAGATAACAGGTGCATGTGGGGCATTGAAGCGACTATAATGGGCTAAATCCTGCCTAACATTCCCATTCATAAAAAGATCGACCACAGGTGGTCTTATGTTAATCTTTCATTCCAAAGTGTGGAACGTCATGTTTTCCCGACAAATATTGCATTTTAAGGCCCAAGCAAACTGCAAATAAATGAAATCAAGGGATAGAAATGATGTGGTAGGTGGGGCTTGAAATCAAGAGCACAGGCTTAATTTAAACTAAAAACCTGTGCAACGTTTTTTTTTGAAAATTTAAGAAGCCATGGCACTATAACTGAAGAAGTTTTTTCACCCTGACCTTTACATTTTAATTGCTGTTCGTAGAATGGTTACCCAAAAAAGAAAGTTAAGTAAATGATTTAATATCTACATCTGATGAGGTATGTAAAGGTCCTACTTTTTGCTCCAAAAAATTTACCAGGATGACTTGAAGTCTATTATTCCATTTTATACACTAGACCAATCAATCGTCCAGTAGTGATATCGTAGCTATCTGGTCAACTAAATTTAAACTCATGGCCATAAACTCTGCTTTCTTCAGATCCCTTTTGACACTAAATACAACCAGTAAACACAATTTTGTTCGTTTGTTTTGACTGTTTTTTTTTGTTAACTGACCGTTACAGCTCAGTCCGCTCCAGTTGTCGGTGCATGCACACGTGCATGCTGCAAGATCAAGTTCTCCGCTATTCGCACATGAAAGCGTACACTCTGAAAAGAAAACACGTATTCAGCGCTCATTTTATATTCCTGTCTCTCGAGTCTCCTAAAGATTCTCAAGGGCTTGTTTCATATTACCATTCTGTTACCCAGAGTTACTAGAAATATCTGACTATTTTCAAACACTTGTCAACCTTTTCTGACTATAACTGCTTGTTGTTTCTCAAGGGCATGGATTGGACTTTCCCCCACTATTCCTCTTTTATTATAATTTCAGTGAGCTAGATAGTTTGTAAGGTTTCCCTATACTGTGTGCTAACTACTATTTGCACCATCACTGATATCATCAAACCCATAAAAAAAAAAAATTGAATATTATCAAAAACCGATGAATGATTGAGCTAAAACTTAATTCTTTCTTCAACAAGCATAACATTTAATTTTGTTACCTATTTCACAGTTTTCTCCCATATATCCTACGTCACAGCTGCAGGTGTACCCACGAGGGTTGTTCAGAGCGTTGTTGCATGTTGCTCCGTTTACGCAGTCGTTGCCCATTTGACAAGGTGCTTAAAAGAATATAAAAAAAAATATCCAATTCAATCACAACCCAGAGGAGGGTTGGAAATGTTTTATTACGTGCTATATAAGCCAGAGATCAAGGTAAGCATGAAAACCGACTCCACAATAGATTCCTCTTTCATTAACTTTAATGACCTTTCATGAACTTGAATGACCCACCAAACTCTAGTCGTTCCATACTTGTTCCATTCCAATCTCTACTTTCTCAATTGTGGCATGTCGTTTAAAACTTGAACAAGAGTCACGGCCAACAAATTCTTGAGGAAAAGCTTAAATAAATCTCTCAGCTGAGAGAAGTTTTTATTCAGACGTCAAACGTCCTGTTTAGGTAATAACAGTGCATACATCAATGCTTTACATCCATGAACGTGGAATGAGATATCGAAACATATGTAGATTTTTAGAATTACCATAAAGCCTTTACAAAGAACTTTCAAGTAATAAGGGTCAAGTAATAGACTATGTAGAGTCATGCAAATATTTTTAATGATCTGTATTTGTCTTTAATCCCTGAACATTTGACTATTTGGTGTCAGCCTGCTATGCCTTTGATTTCTTGACACTGACAAATGAAAAGCACATAGTTCCTTCAGTTACCTATTGTTTCGCACTGAGGGCCACTGAACCCCTGACCACAACTACAGGTGTATCCAGTGTCCGATGTCGAGTCAACTGCGCAATTCCCACTATTCATACAAGGGTTGACGTCACAAGGTGCTGTGAAAAAACACAATCCATGATAGTATAAATGTCAAACAAAGTTTCCCTGTTTCGTTGGGTTTGATGACATATCCCCTGTCCATGATAGCCATTCCCTACATATAACAATTGTGCTCTTTGTACGGAAGTTCACCTACCAACTTGGCAGTTTTGTCCGCTGTAGCCCGGCGGGCAGCTGCACGTGTATCCTCCCGTGGCCAAGTTGTCTTCAACACACTCACCACTGTTCACGCATGGCGCCGCATCACACTCTGGTTTGAAAAAAAAAAACATCAGAACATGAACTGTTAAACTGTGAATGTCTCCTCTGCTCGCTATTCCCCTTTGTTAGAATAGAGGTTGATTTATATCTCATCTTGAGAGTGAGGACTTACTGGGGTCGCCGATGATGAATGTCCGTCTGATCAGCTGGTGGTTGGGAGCCAGCTGACCCCCATTGCCACCCGTCACCTGGCCAAGCAATGCCATGATGATGTCCAGATCCGAGTGTCCAGAGCCACTGTCGAAGTTGATGACCAACTCCAGCAGAGCTGTTGATGAGTCTGAGTTGAGCGTCAAGTTTGTGATGACCACATCCCTGAAGGAGCTAGTCAGTGAGGAAGCTATGAAAGCTGCCTCCATCTGAGTTCAACATGAGCCATAAAGAGTACCAACAATTCAGGATGGGAATCACGTTTAATATGATAAACATTCAACAAAACTTTCACGCACTGTCTAAACGTTTCAAGTTTGAAAGGTCCAGTCAACATTTCACAAAAGTAAGCCACCACCTGCCTAAGTATGCGTCTGGTTGCACATGGAAGAGGCAATGAGCACTGAACTTGTTGAAGCAAAAACCAGTTGCCATGTTGCAAATAGTTAAATCAAACCTCCTGGAATGTCATCAAGTCAAAGAAATAGACAGGTGTATAGACAATGTTGATCTCATTGGAGTAATGATCTAATAAATTTCAGTTTCCTTTATAAAAGTTTAATTCCATTTGAACGGTTAAGAAAAACTCTAACAAAAAAATTTTTTTAAATGCACCACATCCATACCAGCAGGCACCATCAATCATTTCAAAATTATGGGGGATTAAATTGTTATTGGTGTAATCTATGTACCGAATTCTTCAAATCTTGGCGGTAGGTGACGGAGCCTGTTGCCAGATCAAATCCAGCACCGCCCACAGCCAAGCCACTGATGATTTCAAACACGGCGGATGACGCTTTTGAATAAGCCGCTGGGAAAAAAACATACACATTAAAATAATAAGGCTCTGCAAAGATGACCTGACAGCCACAGTCTTGTTATATATTCATCCACTATATTCTTCTAGCTATTTTTCCTATTTCTTTTCGGACTAACGTTTTGGGAAATGTTTGTCCGCATTAGCACACCGGTCATGCTCACACCTTAATTTTCCCTTTATATCTATACAACGTTTGTCGTGGAGATCAAAGTTTTAGTTGCAAATTAAACAAAAAACAAGTCATGAATGAGTGTAACGATTTCCAACAAATCTAGAACAATATTTACCCTGACATGTTGCGCCTTGTTGATAGAATCCCAGCATGCAGTTGCACTCAAATGTTCCCGGCAGATTAGCGCACATTGAGTTGATCATCGTACATGGAGTACCAATACATTCGTTCACATCTGAACAATGGGAAAATGTCAACAAACACTTCACTAAACCAAACACACCCTGAGTATTTTGGCCAAGAACCTTCCTGAATCCTCAGGACAATTAACCAACTAAATTAAATGGGCCATCAAACCCAAATTTACTAGTGTAGGTGGTTGGGCTCTACGTACCTTCCATCGTTCCTGCAAAATCCGTCAAACATCTTAGTTTGACAGATCGGGAGTGCAACAAAATCACAATAAATATGATAAATGTGAAACAAGGTTTTGCAAAGTTGAAATTACATCTAGGAGCAGTTTTGTAGATTGAGACGGGTTAAGGCTTTTTCAAGTTTACATACAGAGCAAAACCAAAGGCCTCAAGTTAAGCTATGGACACAGATTCCCAATGAGGAAAGACATTATTCCAGGAAGAAAAATTGGAACGTTTTCAGTAATTTGCAAAAAGATAACATTTGTCAGTTTAAGCGGGAGGATGTCCACCCGAATGAAATTCACTTTTGGCAATGTATTTACAGTGCTAATACTGAAAATCGACATTTGAAATGAAAGATTTAAAAATGATGTTAATCCTACAGTATTAACTGTCCAAAAATAGAACAAGTGAAAATGTATCATAATATAGCTCAAATATTCAGCACAGCACTGTTTTGACAATGCAGTTATTACCTTCACATTGGCCCAATACATTCTCTTCATACCCCTCCAAGCAATCACACACGTAGCTACCAATAGTGTTGTTACATTGAGAGGTTGATGTTTCGCAGGTGTCAGTATTCAAAGCACACTCATCAACATCTGGAAGAATCAAGAGACAATCATTAGTATATGAATTCAATATTCAGTATTTGCCTGATAACTCACAAACATCAATCGGCAGGATTCTAGCTCCAGGCTCAACTGAATGGAAAGAGATGCACAACTAGAGCATGTCTATAACTCTTTCTCCCAGGGCATCCTTTGCGAAGGAATTTTCCTAAATACTGCAAATTTCATAACTGAGTACAGGACCCAATTGCACAATCTTTGTACTTCATCGTTCAAGAAGCATCAAGTAGTGATCTATCCAGTTTAATTGAGGAGGGGGCGGGGGCGTAGGGGAGCACATGGGAGGGGAGGGGAGAAACTTGTAACCCCAGCGAAATGATCCCTTTGATAAATTGAGAGCATCAGCGTTTTACTACCAGTACTGTTTGGAACATCTTGTATTGAATTAATAAGCCCAACTTCCACCGACCAAAACATAGATATGCTAATGGCATCATGTCATTTTGTAGTTACAGTGAATAGGCTCTACCTTCTTGTTAATCCTGCAAAATCCTCTGAAACCTGATTTTGGAATTTGAGGGATCTGGAATGTTTACACATTCACATTAGACCTCACAAATTATTTAGGACCAAATTCACTCCAAGTTGGAAAGTGCTTGTGCAAGTTCCATACACTTGTCCTGGCATCGCATGACCCCCTCCCTGCTCACATTCTAGCAAATGTATAACCTGAGCCATAGGTTTTTAACTTTTGTATTAAAATAAAAGAGAAGGTGTTTACCATCGCACTGTCTGCCAGCTGGGAAGCCTGCAGAGACATAACCACCTATGCAGGAACACATGTAGCTACCGACATTGTTCGTACACTCGGCAATGTTGGCTGCACACTCATCGGTACCGGTCATGCATTCATTTACATCTACAGACAAGATCGATTCTCAAATATCAGATTTGATTTCATATGTAAATTTCGAGTTTTGGATGTGGAAAGCAAGTCGATCGGCAATTGAACAGATCTTCAACAGCAATGACCCTTTTTCAAATGTTGGTGAACTACCTAGCAGAAAGGAACTTATTCAATGGAGTCTAAACGTGTACTCCTGTTCGTCAAAAATCTGGTGACTTCGTTAGTTTCCAAAATGCGAACCATCATCACGAAATCTTGCCCTTTTCAACTTTAAAGTACAGTGAGACAAGGCCTCATTTGATGGGCCGGTCGACTTTTTGGTTTGAGGAGTTAATGTCCATCTATAAGTCCTCTTCTACTTGTCCTCAACTTTATCTTTAAATTCAGTCAAACATTTCTGAAACCTTTTTTTAACCCATTTCAACTATTTCTCTCTCTTGATCCTGATTTTTATCCGTAGTTCATGGTGTTTGAATTTATTTTGCAATTTCAGTGGTTGCCTCAAAAACTGAATAAAATTAGTTGTTTGTGTTTCCATTAACGCACTCACCACCCCATTATATTCGTTATTGGAAAGGGCTTGTTTAGCAGTATCCAGAAATATGTCAATTCGTAAAAACAAAATCAGACTTTAAGCTCATTTCGTGTAGTCAGGTCAGAGATGAGAAAAGTATAAAATCGGTTAATTGTTTTACCTTCACAATATGTTCCATTTCCTTGGTAACCCTGGTTACAGTCGCAGCGATAGCTCCCCTCGGTGTCTGTACACGTCGCTAAGGAGTGACACACGCCAGGGTTCTCCTGACACTCATTGATGTTGACGCACGAGGTGAAGCCATCACCACGGAAACCATCGTCGCACGTGCAGAGATAACTGCCTGGGTTGTCCGTGCAGGTACTGTTGGTAGCGCACACGGGGATCCCACTCTCACACTCGTCGACATCTGGTGAAAGAAATGGGTGTTGTACATGTAATTTTACGGTCGCAAAATAAATGTGGGCGCATCAAGACTTAAGAAGGCCTACCCCATTTTTCTTACCAGGTGAAGTGCCTGAAGAAAATGGGAAATGTATTTTAGCTCATAATGTGTACAGGTAATTAAAGAGTGGCCTCACATGTTCAAAATAAGATCCATTTGATGTGGACAAAAAAACTGGTTTACGTTTTCGAGGCCAAAGTGGCCAAGGTTAACTCTCCCTCCCCTCTTTTTTGTTTTTAGAAAAAACCCATATCTATGATCTGTAAATATGAATATTAAATCAGTACCGTGTGTACTTGCTAATTTATGCTAGCCCCGCCTATTGGTCATCTGAAGTAATAACTAAATTCTAATTGGCGGAACGATTTCACGTTGTTTCCATTAAGATACACTCACACTAAAAAAAATAACATTGTATGACAAACTTCAAATATATTTGGCATCATGTGAGTAAATACAAAAGTTCCATGCACCAAACAGTTTTCTGCCATATGGCCATACAGGAATTGGGATACATTTTTTGGACTCCATGCATAGTACACAGTGCTTCATTACCACTCTTGAGAGCTCCAATAGAAGGCATTCACAGCTCTGCACTTGTCCATTTGCGTATGGCATAAAATACACAGTATTTATTTATTCTATTATGTACAACCCCATGGAATCTTCACATTTAAAGTGTCAGACACTGTAGGCAATGCATTCAAGGGTCCCTCGCATCTCTGTGTGTCCCAACTTTCTCTTTCCAACCATAACGGGGGCACTTGTGATACACAGTCCATATGTTTATTGATTGCTTCTGCAACAAATCCAAACATTCAAGGTGAACCGTAACAATACTTTGCCACAAGCCTGTCTTGGCGGTCATCTTTCTTAGTAAGGCCGAAAGCAGATTATTTTTTTTTCACATACTTTGGCAAGTTTGCCCGTCCCCTTCGTATCCCGTGGTGCAGTTGCATTGGAATGAGCCCGCCAGGTTGGTGCACGATGCGAAGGGACTGCAGTTGGCGTAGTTCGGGTCGTTGGTGGGCAAGGAACATTCATCAATATCTGGGGGAAAACAAATTCAACTTCAAATGTTAATAGACCCATGAAGTTTTTTTCAATTAACTTCACATTGTGTCGATAATGCGTTTACGATTTCTGATATTTAAAATTATTTTTTTTAAAAACCAATAGAAATAGGACAAAGTTGTGAAAGCTAGCCGAGATCTTCAGGAATATTAGCATATGTCAAACTTACATCAGGTATTCCATTAATCAACACCACAACTGAAACAGGAACATCATTTCAAGCATTTGGTGGCATGATATCATACCAAGTGTGAATTCAAAGCACGCTACAAACCGTGCAGGGCTAATAAAACTGATGGAAATAGAACCCATGGTTTTATTGTAAAGTCTAGCACCCCCTCAAAAAAGCATCATAAAAGGTCTTATGCTGTTACGAGTATCTAACTGCATAAGATAATACATGGGTTATAAATGTCAATTGGGGTCTCGTAAAAAATGTAAAACACCAAACAAACACTCACATTAAATTGTAATCATACCAAAACATAAAAAAATACATTCACAAAGTGCATTACCAAAGCATAGCTGTCCTGTGCCAGTGAATCCGTCTTTGCATTGGCAGGTGAAGGAACCGTTATTGTTCAGGCAGTCAGCGTCGATGTGGCAATCATTCAAGGTGTCGTTCAAACATTCGTTAATGTCTGTCAACATAAACAAACATGAATCTTATTTTTCTGACAGAGTATAAATTGAACTAAAGTGGGAGCTGCACAATGTCCCAAGCCGTTGATGCCTTGGTTCTTGGGAGTGTCAGTACAACATAACTACAATTAATTTTTGGCAGTGACAAGGTCTCTTTGAATTGAGTGGTTTTGGATGCGACTCTGAGGGTTTCTACCAACAACATGTTGCAGTGACTATCCATAGCCATATTGACAGAATTACAGATATGGCTTATTTTGGTCTTCACAGGTTGTGGTTGACTACTGGTACACATGTAGGTCCTTAACTGACTTTCGAAATTTGTCTAACAAATGAAAAGTTAACAAAATTTGTAATTAAGAGGCTAAGAAATTCAAACTGCAGATTTCAGCTTTGTTTACTCCTGTTCACAATACTAATCTTGGTGTGCATTTTGTGAATCGACTTTTGATATTCTCGTTCACAATCATAGAACAAAGAATGAGCTGACATCTCATTGAGTTTTGAGCCTTCTGGAATACATGCCCTGCATTTTTCCATGATTCACTCACACTCACAGGAGTACTGATAATGAACATGTTGTAAAGTGCACAATAGGCCAATTCCCTAAACAAGTGGGGGTGGCTTCGTCAACCCTCAAAGTGGAACTTCGTAAAGTTTCCAAAGGTCCCTAGGTACACACGCCTAGCAGGAAAGGGTCCTCACCTGAGCAGGATCCGTTGAAAAATTCGCTGCTGAAGCCAGACTGGCAGTCACAAGTGAAGTAGGGTTCATCGTTGACGCACATCTGGCTCATAGCGTCGCAGTTATCAGTACCAGCCTGGCATTCGTTCACATCTAAATATCATGAAATAATGACATGATGGTTTGTCGGAGCTCAGATTTCAAGCAAAAATCAAGTAGACTACAGTGCTTGTTTATTCATACACATTCTACCAGAAATGAAGTACTTTTATTTGAACAGTGCCCCTCCCCAAAATACACCTATTGCGGTTGATTCAGTACTTTTGCTAAGCAATATTTCTGCTCAGCAGCCCCACGAAATTGGTTCCTAGTTTCATTGTTAGATTGACATACCTGAACAGGTCCGTTGGTCACTATTGAGAGTGTAGCCGGGATAACAACTACACTCATAACTGCCGTCCAGGTTATCACACATGGAGTTGGCACCACACATATGAGGATCACTCTGGCTTGTACACTCATCAATATCTGAAATGCAGTCAGAAAAGGTGAAGTTATAAGAATGTTCTCTTAAACCCACGGAACTGTTTTCCGCAAATGTTTTCCAGAAATACAAAATCGCTCAATTCTTGAAAAGAAATCTGATGTTAAGCTCATTTTGTTGTGACATACCAACAAATAAAAACAAGTTTCAAAGGAAGAAAGTTTATGAATATTATACCTTCACAGACAGTGAGATCACCATCGGCTGCATATCCTGAGTAGCAGCGGCACATGTCTGCATTGCTGGCTCTGTAGCAGTCACCCTGGGTGCAATTTGTATTCAAACACATCATTCCAGCTGTGGGAGAAAAATAAATACAAATCGGTCATTGCGATGGCAAAGAAGCTTACATTGTATTACATTGTATTACTTGAATTTATTTACTGATGAATCTACAAAACAGACAGTGCTGGGGCAGTTTTGGGCAGTACACTGACCAATGGGTTAAGATATTTGGAAGTAAAGATAATTACACGAAATTATTAAGCTTCTTTCGAGGGTTATCGGGGAAGTATTTTACTATGATGTTTCCTAACTTATTCAAATTCCTTCATTTTTTTTATGATATTTTTTACTAAAATCGAAAGAAGATATCAATTTGCTCATTGTAAAAACTGATCATTTTATAGCATTTTTTCTCCATCTTGATTTACAAATGCACAGTTGGGATCCCAAACTGGCCCATTCAAGGAAAGTGAGCAACTGAAAGTCTCACCTCGACAAACTCCTTCTTGGAGGATAAAACCAGCGCTGCAATTACAAGTAAATAATCCCTCGGTGTTGGAGCACTCTTGCTGGCAGTCGTCTAGACCAAGAGTGCATTCGTCAATGTCTGTACAAAAGGAAGTGCATCAGTGAATCGCAACAAATAGCACAACTAGTAACATACTGACAATTTTGAAAAGGGTCATCGTTCTGTTATTGCAAATCCCTTGTTACTGGTCTTTTGAACTGACCTGATGCAATTTACTTAAGAAGATATTTGTGTTGGACAATGGACTTTAATAACGATAATGGAAGAGGATGGTTGTAGCTTGGGTTTAAATGGCAACAAAGGCTTTTTTACAGTTATTTTGATATACTGATATAATATAATTGCAACATCCAGCAGAAAAGTTTCGACTAAAGAAAATAAAAAGTCTTCGCCTGAATACTTGAAAGTTAGAGAATTTATTTACTGCGCATAATGGCTTTGACAGCTGAAACAATTAACCAAAACAGTCACACTTTGCCAATGTTCTTAAAAAGCAATTTACAATTTCTGTTTTGCCTTTGACAAAGATTTTGTTACAATGTCAGGGTGCTGAAGTGTAGACCTTATTTGACAACTCACCTGTACAGGTCTGTCCGTCCCCTGTGTATCCAGTCACACAGTCACACTGATAGCTGCCAACCGTGTTGGTGCAATTAGCGTTCGCAGAACAATCATTGCTTCCCTGACACTCATCGATATCTACAAGGATCAAAGTTTGTGACAAGAAAGGAAAGATTTGTTTACCCCAAAACAATACTTTCATTTCAATTGGTGTCAATGTCATATTCCTTATTCAACAACGTGTTTGCAGAGCAAGAGGCAATTAGGCAGCGCATCAAGGGGTGTAGCAAATAGGCCGGAGTTGTCACCAAAAAATATTTCAGTCAGTCAGAGCCTCAGTTGGCTACTGAACCACCATGGGCGTGGCTGCAATGAAGGGTGCCACCTATTTCCGATAAGGTCCAAGGGATTTGAACATCGCCTCCTTAAGTCAGTTCCTGGCTTCCTTCCAAAACGGGGGATCGGTCAGCAAATATGTTGTCACACACCCAATCGAAGTCTTACTATGCCCCTGATATGAGCACATCTTCCCATCTTGTCAACTACCTCAAGCCTACAAATTTAAAAAGTATTCCTTCGACACAAGGCACTGGCAACATAACAATAATACAATTTTGCCCTTTCATTTTAGAAAATTGTATCCGTATCTGCGAAGAAGGTTTTGGTAAAAAAAAAAGAGAGGATACCTCCCATTTTCAGTCCGCTGTTTTGTTTCCGTCGCAGGCCTAATAACATGTTGGAGCTACAAGGGACACTACTAAATGTGCACAGCACACTCCTTATGTTTGATTTACCTGTACAGTTAGTCCGACCGTCTCCAGTATATCCATCCTTACAGCTGCAGTCAAAGCTACCAACTGTGTTGCTGCAATCACCAGTAACGGCCAAACAATCGTCCTGGCCCGTGGTACACTCATTCAAATCTGGAATCAACAACAATGGCAGAAAAAATAACTTGGCTGCATGCGCTGAAGATATTTTTCGGTTATGTGTTTGTTCTACGGTGTGCACTTATAATAATGAATATCTTTAGTCATAGATGTTTGTTTTAAACACATCCTAAGTTGGTGAGGGTGATGGAGTTATGTTAGAAGTTGACAAATCAGATTGACAGCCCTGGCCTATGTTCGTCATACAAATGAGACTCTGAACAGAGTATAGTATTTTACAGTGCATCTCCAAAGATCCCCCTGGCGGTCTGATATCACTAAAGCAATCACAACAATAATTATCTCTACACTACAAAATTGTGACAACATTACTTACCCGCACACATTATTCCGTTGCCAACATAACCAGTGTTGCACTGGCATATAAAGCTGCCTTGAGTGTCCGTACACTCAGCGTTCTCATGACAGACTGGCAACGATGCGGCACATTCGTTTATATTGGTGCAGTTGGTGCCGTCGCCAGTCCAGCCATCCCCACACGCACACGTGTATGACCCCACGGTGTTTGTGCAATCGGCTTCAGCGTGACAGTTATCATCCAGGTTCCGTGTGCATTCATTCAGATCTATCGATATACATAAAGTAGAAAGTCATGTTGCGAACAACAGTTTCAGCTGAATGCGACTTTGTAACGTCACGCCAACTTTTTGACGCTGCCTGTTCGAAAAAAATTTGACCGCATTTTAACACCGACGGGTTTTGCTATGAAAGTTTTGTTACACCAGATTCACTTCACATTTGCATTGGCAATGAAACAGAGATAACCATGTGTTGTATCTGCTTGGTTCACTGCACATTGCTTGCATCTAATTAAGGCAATTAATTCCCAAATCAATTAGTAATTGATGACCTTACCTTGACATGTCTTGCCATCACCTTCATATCCTGCAATGCACACACACATGTACGAGCCTATGGTGTTTTCACAGTTAGCTTTCTCGTCGCAAGTATAGGTACTATTGTCCATGCATTCCAAGAGGTCTGAGAGATTATTGGGAAAAAAATGAAAAATCATACTTTGATTCCAAATTCATGAAGATTATGTCATTTTGTATGCCTCCATTACTGGAAATACTGACTTAACAATGAAATGAGAAGAAAAGTGAAAACAGCAGAATTTCTGTGCGTATTTTTTTTTTATCATTATTTGTTTGTAATAACTGAATTTCCACAGAAGACTTTTGAGAGCTTTGCCTGACTTAAATTAAACTTCAGAAAGCCAACAAAAAGAGGGTTTTGGTGCCGCATTACTGTGTGTTACCATTCTCATTTAACTCTTATTCCTCGGTTTCTTATTCACCTGTCTAGGCTTAATTGCCTAGCTACACATTTTAAAAAACACCTGAAAATATACACAAATTCCCACAAGTCGCCACAGGTAGTGACAACTACTCAAATCCACAATAAAACAAACAATACTTCCTTTCCCAATGTCCCTCCCCTGCATTTTTGGGTTGACCGCATTGTAACTTAACTTGTGAATGATTTGCAGTTGTCGTGGCTGTGACTTTATTGTTGTGGTATGTTCAGTACCATCATTTGTACAGTGAAAAGGCAGTGAAAAAACACCGTTTTATCAAACATTTGGCTATGATGAACACCCATTTTTGCTCCCAATTTGTTTGTAGAATTTTATACCAAGCACTGACATCTGAACATTACTATCCTGAGCTGTATACATTTTGGACTCTTTGGACGCTTTTTGAGCGTTTGATAAAAAGGTAAACTTTTTCCACAATTATGAAATTTTAAAGAATACAAACAAATCACAACAGCTGTTTCTAAACTTGTTCGTGTTTTATTGTTTTCTTCAATTTTGCTTAACTCAACACCATAAAATAGAGTCCACACTCATTGGAGGGGTCTTAATTTTAAATCTGATCATCTTAAATGATACAGTCATTTATATATAAATTTTGGAAATGTAAAATGTTAGCTTCATTTTCCAACCCCGTTTGCCACCAAAGACTGTAAATCGTCCAAGATTGACAACTGTTCATGAAAAATGATGCAGTTTGAAGAGTTGAAAATTGAAAGAGTACGCGAGTGGCAATCCGCTGCGTGACAATGTCACACTGCCCGAAACGAACGGCAGGGAATATCGCGGATCGCACAATGCTTGTATGCATGAGAGCACACGACATTGAATTACCCGTGCTTTGTGCGGACAATGTGTAGGGGTCAATCACGGTCATGTGTGGTTCCGCTTAGCAAATTCTCCTCGCGTAAACTTTAAATTTCCAATTTTTCAAACTGCATCAATTTTCATAAACCGTTGTCAATCTGGGACGATTTAAAATCTTTGGTAGCAAACGGGGTACCAAAATTTAGCTAAAAAAATTCCCCAAAGGTCTACATAAACGACGTCATCATTAACACGATCAGATTAAAAATTATAACCCCTCCAGTAAGTATGGACATTTTTTTGCGGTTTTATATAAAACCTATGGATACTGAGTTTAAGCTGGCAGAAACGGTTGGGCTTCTAAAAGCTAACAAAAAAGCTTTTATCGCATTTTTGAAATACGCTGTTTAGGTGTCTGTAGTGACGTACATCAGCGGTCCAAATCTCTCTTTGTAACCATCCAGAGGGTACATGTATTTGTTCCCAGAGTACAACACATTTTGACAACATCTCGACTGTTTTCAAACACATACCTGTACACGACGTTCCATCCATAAAGTCGTCCCTGAAGCCTGGTTTACAGTCACACTCGTAGCTGCCCTGGGTGTTGTTACACACAGCGTTGACGCTACAGTTGTGCAGGTCCAGTTCGCATTCGTCGATATCTACATCATCCAAAATAAACACAACCATTCTCACTTACTGGTTTGACAGAGTCCAAGCCTGACACACACAAAACACCGACATGCCCCAAATCCTCAGATAACAAAGGGGGAAAATCAGATTTGAATGAAAAAATGCTGAAAATTGGAAAACGCCTTCCAAGAAAAGAAAGATGCTAAATTGGGGTAATTCCATCTCAGTTGAAAGAACCTAGTTGAGGCTTGTTGTGTTTTGGGGGGAGGGGTGGCAGAAATTGAGGAGACAATTAGAAATTACCCTAAATATTAGTGTCTGCGTCACACAAAGGGAATGATAACTTCAGCACAGGAAGGTTTCAGGAAAGCTACAACTATAATACCAGATATAATGGGCCTAAATTGCGGATAACCTTTTCTGAACTTGATCCTGATAATAATGAGATGACTTCTTATGTAATCCATCCCTCGATTTCACAACACTATAACGGGCACAACCAACTTTCTCTCTACAGGTTTATCTTGGTATTTTGCAGGTTTGTCTTCGTGTTTGTGAATACAAAGAACACAGGGCATACCAATGCATCGCCTGTTGTCAATGTACAAGGAGTAGCCAGATTCGCAGCTGCAGTTGTAGTCCATGAGGATGTTGTTGCAGATCTGATCGCAGCCTTGTCCACCGCTGCTGGCTGGCTCGTCTTGGTACAGCTCACACTCGTCAATATCTGCAGGAAAATCAACAGCGAATCTTCAGGGTAACACGATAAGTCATCCACAATTAACGTGAGATCCATACATTCACAAAGTACTCACTATCAAAATTAGAATCGTTCTGAAGTTTGTTGACATCATCTATCAGAAGCTGTGGGAGGGGGAGTAGATGTGGTTCAGTATGTTATTTCTATTGAGGGAGGGTGGTTGGGGTGGCTAATCTCCCCTCTTCATGTTGATTCCAGGGACATTAGTCTCCATATGTGTTGACGATGTCATCCCCTCATTCCACCCCATTAGAGGAAAATCCTAATTCAGAGACTCACGGTAAGAGTACTTAAGATTGACAGAGGATGAATGATGATGATGTGCTAAGGGGCTAATGTTGCCAACTATACACGCAAACCTTGGCCGACCAAACATCATGGTGAAAAAGGGTATCTGCTCCTAGCTAATTTACTTTATGCACAGGAGGATCTTTTAAACAAACTAATCCTTAGCATAGTAGCACCTATACTACATTGTACTGCATTGTCTCTATTCCCTGATGTACCCATAAATCCATACGGTCGACGAAAGTTTTTGGGCAGAACACAGAGAGTAATAGAACATGTCGCATTTGTTTAAACAATTTAAAGTTGTGGTCATGTGATGCAAACTTTGAGCAATCTGTTCTCTCCTGCACTGCAAGTATATTTCTTGAAATATAAGTGGTTTAAAAGTGTTGACATAGCTGTTTATTGTTGGCAAAATAACTTGCACAAAATGCTATAATTTGCATGTTGCTTGCTTAACTCAGCATATCATCACAAGGGAATAACGGGTTAAATTTCAATGCTCAAACCAAGGGAGTCTTGGCCTACCCTGACAGAACCTGCCGTCACCCTCAAGTCCTTCAGGACAAGGTCCACAGGTGTTGTTCAACGACGGTGGTACTTCATCGAAACAAGCCACGCCCATGAAGCAGGGGCCGTCCTCACATGCGTCGAAATCGACTTCACAGAACTCACCACTCCAGCCAGGATCACACTCGCATAGCACCACCTAGATATGAAATGATTGCCAATGTCCAAAAATATAAATAAATAAATGAAAGTGAAGAAAAACCGAAACAACTTGATTTTTTTGATTATGTTGTTACAGATATTCACATAGCCTAATTTAGGTAGTGTCTATCAAATTGGGATTTAAAGCCTCTCAAACAGAACACCTTTCTGAGGAAACCCTGTTTTGTGTTTCAGTTCGGACCCAAGCTGAACCACTACATGTTGGGAATCCCTTTCACTCTATACACAAGCATCCAACACAACTTTTACATGGGTCTGCTCTCCACAGTGGTAAGGTCGAGTCTCAGGCTCTATATCTACCTGCCTAGAAAATATGACCCAATGTATGAACTGCTTTAAATGTGAACAATTTGTCTCGTCTCGACCGGACCAAGTTCCAGGCTCACAGTGGACCAATGTTGAATTCATCATGGATAGGCCAGATATGTAGTGTGAAAAGGCTTACATTGTTCAGCCAGGACCAGAAGTTTGACAGCAGCTTGGGAAGATCAGGACAGTATTATGGGGAGAAAGTCAGTCAGGCAGTCAGTCAAAGAGTCGGGGGGAGTCAGTCAGAGATTCGGTCGATCACAGGACAACAGGCTCGCCCTTTGCGTCCAGCAGAAATTCACTAACCACTCACCCCAAAACGGTCTTCGACAACATCCGTGCCCATCACAAACTCATCCCACAGGCACGTGCCACCGTTCATGCAGTCACAGAGCTGTACGGTTGGTTCGTGAGTTGCATTAGCCTTGCCATCTGTTGCTAGGAAACCAACCATGACCTTTGACTTGTCCGCTGGTGTCCATGTGAAGAGACCACCTGTAAGAAAATATGGAAGTGGGCATTTGTGCTAGTTTTTGAAATTTGAAAAAAATAATTAATTTGCTGTACTCATGCTTTAAGATGTGTTGTCCGAAGTATTTTGTTGCCCAACAGGGTGGATTGACGGGGCTGGTGTCTGCCCCAATCATAATGGTTGATGGAATGATAACCAGGCTACTTGCAGGGCAGATCAATAATAAAAGCCCATTTTCCGATGGTTGCAGAAGCCCAAACTAGAACGGAGAGGGAGTGTTATTAAAATAAGGCATACAAGTTGAAAATTCGTTGAGAACCAAAAAAATTGTTGAAAAACATGGATAGATAAGTCCAATGGTTGACTGGTCAGTCGCGGCGGAGTAGGGTTGGGGAGGGTGGGGGAGAGGGGGGCTAGGGGCTTGTAAGCCTTGACAAGAGCTATATGCCGTTGGTTCAAGTCACACTCATTTACGGCTTATGAGTTTTTTCTCATAGATTAATTTGACTGCAAAGCGTTACACTGCTCTTATCAAAATAATGTTGATGGAAGGCAAGGCCAAAACTACTTCGTAGAGGCTGTGTTTACCGTCTTCGGTGATGGATGCACCTTCGATTGGCTCAACCAATGCAAATGTAACATCGTCTCCATCAGGATCCACGGCTTCCAGTTGTTCTGTGAATTGCACTCCCACCATCACCCTGAAGGTATCCGAAGCGGTTATGTTTGGTGGAAAGTTGGCTGCAAATTGTGCAAAAATAGTACATTTTATTGCCCTACAGTAGAACGATACATAAAACAAATATCGATATACTTGACATTTGGCCAAAACGATCCCGAAAAATGTTGGCTTCCAAATGTTTGTACAATCATACAGATCAATAATGGCCGACAATTGGTTTCACAAATGACCACTATACAAAAATTAATAATCTTTTGTGTACCCCATTGTGTCCATTGTATAGTGAAGTTCTACTGCAATTAAAATATCATTTGTATGCACGATTGAATTATGGGAAGAGCTCTGTGTGAGGGACGAGCTGCCTATATGCTGGTTTATACACATACTGGGTGAGTAAAAAAAAACCGAAACCCAAATTGTTTTAGTGAAGTTCTGCATGTAGCGCTTTTAAAATCTAGGAAATGAAAGCCCAATTCTAGCTTGCTTTTAGTACAAAAATCATTCAAATCACTCAAGTACATTTTAAGTTACAGAATTTTAAACACAACCACTGTTTTAAGGTTCTGTCCACGGATCACAAAAAGTCCAGTGTTCTTTCAGCAAAAAAAAACAAATCACAAAGGGATGTGTGTGAATTGTTTTCGTTTTGCTGAAAGAACGCACACCATGTAGAACTTCAAAAAACAATATTCCCGACATTTGGGTTTCGGTGTTTTTTTTTACTCACCCTGTACAGCAAGAAGTATTCACAACTTACTTGTTTATTCTGAATACTGCGCAAACCTGTGGTGCCTTCGCATGAGCATCGCCAGCGTACGGTGTCAACAGCATCCACAAGATACTGCTCAACCCTGAGTCACCAATAAAGGACTGTTGAACAACAGGATTTACTTACTTGCTGCACTTTCGCTTGCAGAGTTCATTTCATTCAGCATCACTGTAGACTGTCCGATGCTTTCATCGTCGGTCGCCAGTGTGTCAAACAAACACATCTTGTTGTCTCCGCACAACTCTTGAGCCCTTGCAAGTTTTTCCGGAGTTGCAGCTGCTACAAGATCTTCATAGAAACTTGGCACGAAGGAGTGTTCGTTTGATAATGCATAAGTCTCATCACCCACATAATAGAAGAGAGAATTCGCTTCAGTGATACGCCCTGCATGCATCCAAAGATAATATATATTTGAACAAGAGGATAAAAAAAACAGAACTAGGAAAACATTCTCTTTGTTTGGCAAAGAAATATCTTACGTGTCTGGTAACTTTCGTATACAGTTGCTAAAAAAAGAGACTTGGACTATATCAGGGGGTCAAGTTAATGTAGGAACACTTTCCACCCTTTCATCACTATGTGACCTTGGTTTCAATCATGTGGAATATATTTTCGGTCCCTACCTGATTGCGTGGGTTTTTCTTGGAATGTCTTTGCGAAGTATTCCTTCAACCTTTTTCTGATCTACCTTAAGGACTCCATTGAATCCTTCCATGGGGTATCCCGGCTGAATGCTGGGTTATGATAAATAACCTAAATATAAAGATACCATGCAAAATGATTTCTCAACGGTCAACAACTGTAATGATTGACTTACAGGTTTCACCAAATGTATAGAAGTCACTTTCAATCATCTCTCCGTTGTCACCGGTGGCTGGTTGTATAGTATCATCACGTCTGGTTGCATCATTGCTCTGGTCGCCATCCCAAACACCTGCACAGCAGACATTCAATCAATCAATCAATCATGCTACACAGACTGAGAACCTGACCTCTAATTACACGAGTATTTGAGAAGGGCAACTGCGTCAAAGTACTTGAAAACTTTATATAGGATGCTTAATTGCTTATTGGCTGCCATGTGGCTTGATGAAGCCAGCTTTACCTGTAGCCTGATTGGGCTACTCCTCCAGCATTCTTCTATGTCGTATGAAATGTAGGGCTGTATTTGTTTGTCTTTGAAGATCTAATTTAAGTAGAGCCTATACTTAAAGGGAATATACATCATTTGCTTTTGCTGTAATTTTCAGAAATGGATGGAATTGGGGGGTTGGAAATATAAAGCAAATATAGTTACACTGACTTTTTGGAGGTTTTGGGTTCGAAAATGCTATAAAAACCAAGAAAAACGATCATTTTCCTGTAGTCTGGTTCCCTGACTCCATATAAGAAGAAACAGAGCAGTTTACATACATTGGGGAATTGTAAGGTCAGGGAACCAGTCTAGCTGGCTCGTACCCGTTCATAGATTTGTAATCGATTGCAAACAAGTGCAATGGTCAATTGGGGCCAGTATTTGAAAAAAAGCCAGTTGTTTCCAACGCTGATCGGCCGATCAGCGTTGGAAATTGATACAAAAATACCACTTTTCTTGAAAATGACAGTATACCAGGTGCCATAATTTTACAGGATGCTTTAGACTGTCATTTACCAACATCCTATTAAGGTATTTCGTAAAAACGTGGTAGTTTTATTTTTCGATGTTTGCAAATGTTGTATATTCCCTTTAATGGGACAGTAGGTCAACATCGCACCCGCTTTTCTCAGACAATAACTCTTAGTATTGTAGTTGAGTCTAATACAGGTATTAAAATCACAATATTGTAATGAACAACAAAGGAATGCCTCTGTCACAGTTCATTTGAATATACGCATGACTTGACGCGGGACTGGATGCCACTGAACTTGTGAGGACTTATAAAAGATGTGTGCATATCGAATTGAAGTCACAATGCATTGTTGAAATTTTGTCTGGTTTAGGCAATCAATTCTGTATTTGTGGAATTGGTTTTCGTAATTTGAGTTGTACTCACCTAGTAATCCTTTGGTTTTTCCTCGATATGTTTGCCCAAACTGGACAGTGATGTCTCCAATGCTGTTGTTTACTCCTACTGTAAACTGAATATCGCCAGGGAACATGGTGACTACTTTGTTAGTTGACGCATCCCTTTTGACAGTCACATTGCCAATTAGCAATCCTAAAAAGGGTGAATGAAAATACAACTCATCACTACTGATGAAAAAAAAGCCAGTGAAAAATCCTTTGTAACAATTTTTTTCACCAATATAATACTAGGTTAAGTGTTACTCAAGTTTTATCTTTATTAAGGCTCCTGAACTAAGAAACCACGACAGGCACAAGGGCTGCTTGTTGCATTCTCAAAACAAAACTGAGAGGTATGGTATAAAGGTACAGGGTGAGTTCAAAGAAAGCGGAACCCAAACCCCCAAAATATATTTCATATAAAAAAAAATGTAGCACCAAACATAATAACGACTGGAAAGCCAAGTTCATAAGCTACTTTTAGATGAAATATAAATTGCTGAAATTGCTCAATCTATTCAACAAAATTTCACCATTTTAAACGCAATGACCTTAAAACCTGTCTCGTCCAAAAAAAAGCAATTTATTGTATGTTTTGACTGTTTGGAACAACAAAGAAAATGACACAGAGTACTTGTTTCAACAACTGTCAACAACTGTAAAACACAATATCGTTATTAACAACCCTGGTTAGGCAAACAATATGATTTATAAAATCCCCCTTTTTTTTAAAGACGGGCCTTCAAAAGGACTTTGTTCTATATTTTTTACTTTTAAACTGGGGTTTTATCTTTGGTGATGTTTGAAGACAACTGTGACGATGATTTTTGAATCGCATTTTTGAACAAGCAATTTAAGTAATTTTTTTTCATCAAAAAGTAGCTTATGAAATTGGTTTTCCACTGTCCAGTCATAATTATTTTGGGTTTTACTCATTTGTTTAAATAAGAAATTTAATTTGGGGGGTTTAAGTTCCGCTTGTTTTGACTCACCCTGTATGATGTCATCTGAAAGGCTCAACAAGGGTCTCGTAACAGGTTGTAGTTTCAATGAAGAATCACTAGAGGTGAAGGATTGCTTGATCAGCACAGATTGTGTAATAATATACCTCTATTAATCAGGGTGGATGCACCGGATCAAATTAAACTCTATCAACTGCAAATGTACCTGCTGTTGTAGGCGTGACAACGTCTCCGTTGACAGTTGTAATCAGACCATCAGCGTTCTCTCTTTTGTTTAATTTCACTTCAACCTGCGGGGAAAAAACACTTCTTATTGAAATATGACAGGTTAGGAAAGCTAGGGCATTGTTTCCTTTCAACTAAACATATTCCAAAAGTGCTCGATCCAGTGCAAAATACGTGCAGAAAATGTGCATTTTTTTTGTTTTGGGACTAGGTTTTTGCATTTTGTAATACGCGTACCGTATTTTGAAAGGAAAACAAATAAGCGCAAAGATCACAATGTTTCTCCCAAATAACATGTACATGTTATTTGGGAGAAAAATTGTGCATGTGGGAGTTTCTATATTTAAAAATGCCATAACAATTCTAGCTCTTAAGAAATATATTTTCAATCGTATAGATATTGGAACAAGGAGTGTATAGCTATCCTTTCTAATCTACAAAATAAATGTAAATATATTTCCCCTTACTTTGTCAGATGAATTGGCATTTTAACATGTAGATTCAAAAGAATGACCAAGCTCATAGCAACGTGCCAAAAACAAGCATGTCAATTATCTACTTAATTAGCTACAGCTGGCAATTACTCAAGTTTAATAATCAGGTGCAATTCAAATTCAATATAGAAAAATATATTGAACTGTTGCTACATATTCATAATTGAAAGTGAAGTGTTACAAACCCTCCCTTCTCCTGGATACTCTGCAGCAAACCCAGAATAGAATGTTGCATCCGTTAGTTGACCAGTTTCTACATTGGTAGCTCGCTGCGTCCGGCCTTGCAGTTCAAAGATTATCCCTCCGTTGTCGTCTTGGATTAGTGCTACTGTGTATTCACCAAGACCATTGAAGGTGTACTCAACTCCATCCAGGGTTTTGATGTGGGGGTCTCCCCAGAACCAGACTTTTGAGAATTTCCAAAAAGAAAAAAACATTCGACCAAATTAATTTGACTCAATGCCTGCATTTCCATCTGTTCTATGAAATCAGAAAATGGTCTGAGAGGTTTCAAAACAATCTGCCAGACTCTCTCAATGATTATTGGACCAACCATAATTGTGCATATCTAATTAGTAACTACGCAACCTTTTCCATTGACAAGAACAAGGGCTCAGGCGTGGACCTTTGGAGTGGGTTTTAAACTAAAACTCCCTCTGTCGCAATGATTTGAAAATGTGCAGATGTAGTAAGAATGGATATCAATGATTGGACAGCCGTGATCTGAAAGGTGCGGAATATTCTTCATCAACCCTTGCCTGCGTAAAAGTAACAACAACAACGGCTTCTTAGAGTTCTTCAATAATGCCAACTTACACCAAAATGGTGGTTGATATCTCCAGCAACTCATGGCCGGTCTGTAGTAATTGTAGAGGTTACAGAGTGTAGAAGCTGAACAGCAGTAATACCGAGGCAGTACTTCCTTATCTGTGTACAAAAACACGAAGTTTGCTTAATGGCGGTTCAAACAAAACAACAATTACGGAACGTACCCCAGTATTGCTTCTTTCTTGAAATCAAACATCAGATCAACATATTAGATTCACGACTAACAACACCTAACTGCCACAAAACTAGGGCCTAATGTCACATAGCTCCTGTAAACAGAACACACGGCTTTGGATATTGACATGCTATGCACAATTGTTTTTTGTGCAAATATCGGCCGACAATCAGTCTTTAGCAATGTGCACTGCATAAAATTTGGCTGGAAAACCTGTTTTATACTTGTCAAATATTTTCCTTTTTTTGTGTGTGACATAAAGCAGCTCCGTGGGGATGCCATTGATGAATCTATTAAATGTCTCTCATCTGTGGGTCGATTCAAACATGCCTCATCTCCCGATATCTGACAGAGCTTGCTTCTCATTTGTATTTCAGCATTTTGGGGGGTTCTCTCTTAATACGTACTGTTAAATGTTCAAGCTTAGGTTCTGTCTTGGTACAACTGTCCGTGTGTACTTGTTCTTGTTTAGTCCATCCAATATATATGTTCGCCGTTTACATCTTTTTGACAATTCTATTTACTGATTTACTTATTCGTGTATTATAATGCTTGTATTTCTCATTTGGTATGGAAATTATTGTGAGTTTGAATTGAATTGAATAAAATTTTAAATACTGAAATTTCACTTTGACATGTGCATTTTGATGGAAGCTAGGTTGCTCCCATCCCAGCTGCCATTGTACATGTATAAGCAAAGGTCAGACGTTGTTATAGTTCAGATGTAATGGTCTCTGGTTTAAATCTAATGTTGCAAAGCTGTTGGGGACATTCAATTATTCAATTGGGCGCTTTCTTATTAAGTGCTTACCAAACCACTGGTTAAACAGACTAGGTGTGTAAAACAAGGGACTGACTGGATAATGCTCAAAGACAGAAGCAACTATTGCATTCCTGACGCCCCGGAGAAGACTCCATGTTTGTGTGCTGTAGCAGCATAGCGGGCCCGGGGTATTAGGAAACTGAAACGTCCGGACATAGCAAACAGCAGCTGCAAGAAAATTACAATCAATTAAAGAAGTAAACTGGGAGATATTAGCACGCAAGGAGGTTATACGTCTTAAATAAAGAGAGGGTCAGGTATGATCAACATTTTGTTTGTGCAAAATGAAAGTGTAGGACTTTCATGTCGAGGATTTGACAATTTCGTCTTTGCGAAATTGAACAGCAAAATGTATTTGGAGATTGTATGATTACCATTTATATTGTGTCTGCTTTTAGTCAAGGATCCTAACATCTCACCATCCAGTTTTTGTCGAGTAAATATTTGACTCATCTAAATAGTTTTAGAAGTGTCAGACTTTTTTAATTGTTATTTACTTAAAAAAAGAACCGCATAGTCAAAAGTGAAAGTGAAGGGTCCAACACTGTTCATGAGGTCATTCAAACATGCTCTCAAACATGCCCTCATGATGTAAGGAGGAAGTGGATAGGCTACTCACCGACTGATGTGCTGCTTCCTGAATCTGGGAGGAAATAACTGTAACCGATGTATGCCCATCTTGGGTCCGCACTTGCCTGGAACCAACTGCATGGACAAGTGTGAGCAGTCGCAAACCAGTAGGAAAGGATAAAATTATCAACAACCTGCTCACTGTACCAGTTCCGACAGAACAAGCGGGGATTGACAAAATCGTCGGACAGGCTGTCCAGTCGCTGGACCCAGCGCCCGTATATCCCGGTATTCCCAACCATATTTCCTGGTCGGAAACGCAAGGCACTCGGTATGTCCAGGTAGAATTCAGTGCCAGGTTGTCCGCAGGTGAAGCCCTGGATGACGTTGTCGTTAGGCAGAAGGTCTTTGTTCCAGTTCATGCCGCAGCGCTCGTAGTTGAAGATAACATAGCCATGAGTGTAATCTGTCACAAGCACAGCTTGGAAAGAGTTGGTACTCTGAACAGAAAAAAATAATAAAGATAAGTCCATTGTAAGTGGCAACACATACAATGTATATCTTTAAAATATTACATCAACCGATTTTTCGACCAGCTGCTCGAAATTGTCTGTTTTTGACAGAAAATGTCACAAATACTTACTTTATCGGGTGAGAGGGCTTCTACATAGCGCCATGTGATGACTAGGGCCCAGGCTGCAGTGAAGCTGCAGTTATACTGGGCAGTGACGATGCCACTCAACGTAGACAACATGGTGGAACTACTGTCATCATATACCTGGGGGGGAAACCAAGGGACCAAACTTGGGTTTTTTTTTGGTTGATTAGGCTCTGTGCACAAGCATCCTTTCACTCAAGTACAAGGAGAGGAAGACGATACGTAAGTTTTAAAAAAAATATGGAAGTTTGTACACATTCAGAATGTGGGAGAATCTGGTTGGTGTCCCGGTACTTTCCTCGCCTTCCACCGCTGTGACCCAGGTTCGAATCCCGCCTGGGCCAACATGTGGATTGGGTTTTCAGTTCCTGCCTGACTCTGTGGGTTTCCGCCAGAATGTTCTTCTGGGGTTTTCCTGCAAACTCTAAAACTGTACTTTCTTCTCGTTGTCTTCTTTCTACAGGTTTCTTCAGGCTATGGAGCAACAGTGCTTATGGTGGTTTTGAGGTATCCTTGGTTTTATTACCAGACATTAATAATAATCTTTATTATATCAAGAACACACTGGTATACTCCTCTCGTTTTTTATACAATATCTCTCAGTTTGATATCTAAACGAATATGGACTTTAGAAGGTTGGGAATGTTGAGAGTTACTTAAGATTCCGATTCCGCAACATTTATGCAACAAAAGCTTCTTTTTTTAACCAAGCCACTTTACAACTGGAGTGACTAGTCACAGGTTGCTGAGCTTTGTTAGTAATCTAGGTTGAGTAGCTTTGTTTGGTTGATTGAAAAAAAGTACGCAGTTTGATTTTACGTAGTCCAAGATGGAATGGATGAGGTTACAAACCTGAATCAAACTCACCTGAAAGAAGACATCCCTTGTCTGAGAAAACCTTCTGCTGTTGACGTCTGCCCAAAAGGCAGCTACCATTTTTGTTGGGCCACTGAAGAATGTTTTTGTGGTACTTGGGTAACTGCGTTTATATAGACTTTGCTCGTTGGAAAAGACAATGACGCCATTATCTGTGAACTGATAAAGCAGACGACCAAAGATGTGTCATCAGGACCGTAAAATAATTCCAGTGTTAAATTTGGACGTGGGTCCAGTTTCAAGACAATGCAAAGCACACAAGAGCATACATCAAGGGAAACTTCATAATAACATTAGCTCCATGTATTTGCACTTATTATAAGGATAAGTTGTTATCATTGTGCCTAACACAGATGCTACACCTTCAATCGCTAAGAAAGTACACTATTTTCTCACTCATTAACGCTAGCGATACACTTTTATAATCACAGAATTATAGCAGAACGTTAACGCAAGAATGGGATCCCTAATAAGCTTGTCCAGTAAGTGGTTTTTTTTGTTATAGCAAGTGTGGCTGCCAATACTCAGTATAAATATTATTACATCCAATTTGAAAGTACTCTAGGTTTTCATTTTAGCGAGCTCTACTGCATTTGATTGATAAAATACGGGCCACATAAGCCAATATCTTCAATTTCAAAACAGAGGCCAATTTCACGGCACTGCTAAGCACAAATATTTGCTTAATACAAAAAAGGTGTGGCTTTTAAAAACAAGTTTTCAGCCAAAACTCCATGTAATGTATATTGCTCCAGATCAGTATTCAGCTGTTGTTTACTTAGCATGAAAATCGCATGGAGTTTTGGCTGATAGCCTGTTTTTATAAACCATTTTTTTCTGTGCTGAGCAAATTGTTGTTCTTAGCAGCGCCGTGAAATGGGGTCCGGGTGTTATGTTCCATAAATTGCATTTTTGTCATGCTTTTTATTTGTCATACTTACATAGATTTTCTCATGCAGCTCATTGCAGAAAGGAAAGAAATTTGGCGGGCTGATGGTTCGTGAGATCATATCTTTGCTAGAGGACAGCGATGACTGTTGGGACAAAAATGAAAGCATTTATATTACATTGTGTTACATTGGGATTCAATGGCTTAGAATGTGCTGGGGTGGAATGCAGAATTGAGCAGCTTCTTTTTACCACTGCAATATCCCACTTTACAGCACCATTGGCCTCTCTTAACCAAATCCTACTGTCTGTCATTTTATAATGACAGACGGAGTCAGCGAGTTCCTTGCACTATAACCAGGATGCCGCAGGCAGGTGGAGCTCGTTAGATGTGGCTGCAGTTCGCCTAGGAGAAGGACCACTCTTATCACAACTCAGGGTGGAACTCGTTAGCCTAAGTCGGCAAGCTGCCTAGAAGAATGACAAATCTGCTGATCACAAACCTGCAGTAGAACTCGTTTATAGCCTTGGTTGGCTCTACCAACAATCACCTGATCGGATAGTGCCAAGAGTGGTAGCGCGCATGGCCCGTCGGTGTGCAGACACGTCCCGGCACTCATCACAACTACCCCCCCCCCCCCACCTATTCGACAAAATAGGAAAAGTACCCCTGGGTTAGGTGCTTTCAAACACCAGGCAGCTACTGTTGAGCATCTTCAATGCATCTGCTCCTGTGCCCAAGCACTTTACTGATAGTGGCTCACGTCTTGTGAAGTCATCATTGTCGTCTCCCAAATTTACATCGCAGGGGACAAGTCAGTGCAGATGGACTCAGCTATGGGTGGTGGCCAGGGGAGGCTCTTCTGAGTTCTGACCGCCGAGCAGTGCTGAGAGGACCAGCGACCCACAGCACATATGAAGGGCCCTTGTGATGACTCCCAATATGCAAATCCTATACCCCCAGTAGCGGGATTCTGCAGGGACCAGCTTGGCAGCTTCCTACGCGTTTCACCAAGCCTGATGACGGCGCGCTCTTAAACCAACTCGGGCGGGGAACGGTTGACTGGCGCAGGAGGCCAGAAGCACGAAGCTTCTCAGATGCAAGAATTAAGGGTCTCATTCTTTCCACCTACAACATCTAGTCCATGACCAACAAAAAGGTGGGCTTGGACAAGAGGCACAAGCTGGCTTCTTCCTAATACAACTAGAAGTGGCAATGTGCGGAATACAGGAACACAGAATTGTCCACAAGGATGAAATGAGTGAACATCTGGTCTCTGTACGGCAAGAGAACGGCTACATGCTCTACACCTCCTTGGCCTGAAGCAACTCACAGGGAGGGAAGAGGAGGGAGCAACAACGGCCGGCATCAGAAAGTGGCTGAGCCCAGTCGCTGCCAAGATGCTGATCAGCGCAAGTCGTGTGTTCGGCACTCTAAGCTGGAAGCCTCTTCCCTCATCTTTTGGGAACCAACCCAAGGAGAGGAGTCCAGGGCCAAGAGAAGGGCACCCTACATCGACGTCCTGAAGAGAAACACAAGAGTCACAAGAGTTCCCAGAGCTGACGACCTGTGCTCCTGCATGGAGGACCGATCAGACTGGAGGGTGAGAATGGGAGGGGCCCGTGCTGCTGGAGGACAGCCCCCTGCCGGGATCTGAATAGGTCTTACATTGTATTACATGCTGGGATAGTTTTGGGTGGTACAGGGAGTAACAGGTAGGAGTTTGGGGCAGTTAAGACACTAATGAGTTAACAACCCATTAACAACTGAATAATCATTTTACTACATTGTCTTATTCACAAATAAACCCAACAAACCACATGTAGAGTAGCCTACTCGGGTGGTTTGGCATTACAGGGAGTTAAACAGGGCGTGTCACTTATTCACTGGGCAGTAATGATTAATGATATAATATCCATACTGACAGCGTGTTTTGTAAGGTGTACAGTTAAAATCAGGTTTCAAAGTTGATACAAATCAAATATCAAGAAACTTGGGTTATTTTAATGACATGATGTATTACTTACTGGTTGTGTTTCCTCCGAAAGGCGACTATCTCCAACTGCGACTCCAAAGGGAACAAAATTGCCCTCTGTTTTTAAAAGAGATGAAATCATTTTTAAAAAAATGTGACCCTTGAATCCCATTTTATGGACCAAATGCACACACTTATAGATGGCTCATTGGGACAACTTAAAAGAATTCCTAGAACTGAACACATCTCGTATACATGAGTACAATGGTTCAAGTGCGTGGGTGTGAAGTATGCACAAATCTCAAATTTCAGTGGCAGGTGCAGTTTGAAATGCTCCGAATGTATCACTGAGTATTCTGTGGAGCAATTGGTTGACGTAGGTGAGCATGCAGCTTCTAAGTAATGGTCAAATATCACCCCCGCAATTGCCCGTTTCCACAAATCTACCCATATCTCAAAAACTTCGGTTGAATGCCAGCACGTAGTGTTTTCCTGCTCAGTTTCAGGAATCACGATAAAAATTTGCAAATTAGGACCAACATCACAGCCCTCCTCCAAAAAATGTGATTTAAACAGAAACAAGTCATTCGCAGCGACAAAATCATAATTACTAGTCAAAATGAAGCGATCACTAAAAAAAGGCAGTTTCAATAAGCAGATACCCAGCGATATTTTTGCTAAAAACCAGTCCCATATTGAAAACCAGTCCCAGACTCTGATATCACATGACATGATTTGTCTGTTGCCTGAACTTGTAGCACAAATATTTTCTTTTGTTTGAAAACTTGTGTATGTGCATGGCAGCACCACGACATTGGCTCCGATTCACCATGAAATTGGTTCCAATTGGCTGAATTTAACAAAATTGCCAATTAAAAAAATACTGCTCTGCTGATAGAGAAAAAAAATCAGCCATGAACTCAGTGGAATTCGGTCACATTTTCCTAGCTTTAAAACCCTTTTCTTGTTAACGGAGAACCAACACTCATGAATTTCTTACCATAGACACTGAATGAGAAGCTCCTTGATGTGCTGCAGATTTCAACCGTAACACCGCAGGTCACTGTGTGAGATCCAAATCCAAAAGAGATGCCTCCGCTCAGAGGCACAGCATCTCCGTTCTGATCAGTACAACTGATGGATTGGCCATCCAAGTATCTGCCAGTCACTGCAGGCCACGAAACTACGACATCATTCTGTCCAGGCAGGGTACACTGGTTAGCAACCGATGGCACCGTTATGCGTGGCTGTGCTGTGGAGACCAATGGATTAATGACTGAATGTAAATCTCGAGGTATACGAATGTTTTAAATACTCAATTAAATCCACAGGTGGACAAAACTTCAATCAAACAAACTACAGAGGGAAACTCACTAGGTGCATAACAAGATTTAAAAACAATTAAAGTTGAACAAAGAAATTGACTGGGGCGAGGTTTGAACCTGTGACCTCCGGGTTACCGGTCTAGCACTCTACCAACTGAGCTGTTGAATACACTTTCGACACAAGCTTCAATGAAGCCCTTAGTATGGCACAATTGATAGTGAGGCTGAACTGCCAAGTTAAAGGTATAATGGCAAAGACATTTCTCTGGATATCAGCAGTTTTCCCATCAAATAAAAATTACCGAGAGTATGAAAATCAGGGAAGGAATTTGACAGCATTTTATTCTATCCGCTCCATTCACAAGTACCCCCTCACCGGCAAAGAAAGTACAGTTGAGGGTGACCGACCGACGCCATCTTGCCTGACTGCAATTTAGTGCCGCTGTAGCGTGAAAATCCGACTCCATGAAATGTGCACTCATTGGTAGTATTGCGCACGCGTGAGTATGATACTATGCTATTTTTAGGATCGTTTAGGGAGAGTGACCTGTCACGTGCGAGGGATTAACCAATAATAGGGAAAAAGGGGTCCGATTTTCATAGGAGTCGGATTTTCATGTGACACCGCGACGCGCGGCCGTATCACTGCGTGCACATCGAACAAATCCCCTGGTGTACGTGCGTCACACACAAGGAACGGTGCGTGTCAACGAGCTAAATGTCCCACCCATGGGACGTCGTTGCTATGTAAAAGGGCGCCCTCTTTGTTGGCGCACGGAGCTCATAGGACAAGCGAATGTCAGAATTTTGCTAGTGGACACTTACACCTTCACAACACTGGTTAAAAAAACGCAGGAAAATTATTACGTGTTAAGTAAGCCTTCCCATGTCTTGAATTTTGGACTTGTTCTTACCGAATACATAGAAATCGAAGGCTCCTACTGCCGTGCAACCAGCATTATTGGTGACAACGCAGGTGTGGACGTGTGTATAGTACTGCAAGTACCACCAACCCCCTGTGAGCGGCATGGAGATTCCCCACGCTATACAGACGATTGGGTTGTTGTCGCTGTGCATGGCGGTCACTTGGGGCCATGACACCTGGGCATACACCCACCACGGGACCGCACAACGATCAGCTACGGTTGGCAGGTTAAGAATCGGTGATTCTGTGTTGTTAAGAAAGGGGTAAATTTTTAAGAAACGTTTTGCACGCTGTTCAATGCAACACAGATTTTTACAAACCACCAAAATGAATCATTTACATTACAAACTTATACTTTATCAATCTTCACACCAAATCCCCAGGCTGGACTCAAACCCACTCCACACTAAACCTTAATGAGCTTTCTTACTTACGTCGGACAGTGAACGAGAAGCTTTTCAAATCTTCACAACCATTGATGGTGACCTGACAGGTCACGGTGTGAAAACCGACAGAAAAGGCGATACCGCCACTGAGAGGCACTACAACTACTCCTTCACTGCATGAGATGGCTTGTCCACCCAGGTTGGTGTCAGATACTGCAGGCCAGCTCACAGTGGCAGTAGCTACGCCGAAATCAGTGCACTGGTCGTCCACATTGGGCACTATTAGCGATGGAGATGCTGCGGACAAAACAAAACAAAATACTCGTATTAAAGATCTGGATCGTGTTTAATCCATTAGATTGTTCCATCCCAAAACTGTCCTAGCTGTTTACTCCCTGTACTGCCCCAACACTGCATGATTCTGTGAATTCATCTGGGAATAAATACAATGTAATAGAATGTAGTAGAAGTACTAATGGTTAACTCAGCTGTGAGTTTTGTGGCTATAACTGAGTGGCATGCTGAGTTGTGGAGTAGGGTTCCTTCAAAGGCTTTCCAGTCTAGTTGGACCAACAATTTTCAGTTCAGGACATTTTTCCTATTACAAGGTTTCGCCTTGCCTGCTTCCCTGGGTAGGCGGCTTTGCTGCTTGCCGCACGCTTTGCTTGGATTGAAGAGCAAGGATGAGGCACCCCTCTTCCCAACAGACTAAGATGAGGACGGACATGTAAGTCTCACCTGCAACACCAACTGCAAAGCTTTTTGATGCCATGCAACCACCGTTATTTGTCACTGTGCAGGTTACGGTGTGACTTCCTACCGGGAAGGTACCTCCAACCAGAAACACAGACAAAGCACCCGATGTACACTGAATGGTTTGACCATCGGTGTTGGTGGCAGTTACTGAACTCCATGTCACGGTAACTGTCGGCTGATCGGTGCAGAGAACAGGGCCCACGGGCACTGAAATTGATGGTGACGCTATTGGGAGAAAAAATATACCAAAAAAGTGAGATGTGATCTTCATATATCCCTAAAGGCAGCGGTAGTTTTTTTGTGAGTTTCACAGATTAAGTTGATTTAACAGATGTCAGAGTGAGTCTGGTTAGAGTCAAGATGTCAATCAGCATGAACATCAAAGCACAGTGTTCAATGCCATCATAACTGAGGCATTTATTACCGCAATCAAACGATCAGCTCTCAAAAGAACTGTTTTATTTATGATCCCAGGATGTTTATCAGTGTTAAGTTCTGATAAACATTAAAACAGGGTTTCCGCATTTGCTTCAAAATTGAATATCCTGTCATCAGAGGCAAATGTTTTCATAGACTATGCATGAGCTAAATTATACTGCAGCTACAAAATATAATGCCTGATACCTGATACAACAAATGTGAAGCTTTTTGAGCCTGGGCATCCATCGGAATTGGTAACGCTGCACGTGATTGTGTGTGATCCTACTCCAAAGGTTCCACCAGAGATCGTCACTGCAGTTCCGCCTCCAGAATCAGTACAAGTGATGCTTGCACCCACAGCATCGGTGGCAGTCACAGCGGCCCAAGTCACAGTTACTGTAGCAGAACCTTCATCGGTGCACTGTGGACCCACCGTGGGCACAGTCAGAGACGGGGAAGCTGTGTCGAACACAATATCAAATGGCTAATATCAAATGCCTTTCAAAAATTTTTAAATGTAAGGCTGAAAGAAAATACTTTATTAGGACTTCATTCTGTGGCCTCTGGAATACTGTACCGGTGTTCTATCGACTGAACTATACCAAGCCCTATGTTGACAATTTTTCCAACTTGTCAATGTGTTTGTTCATGGAGTACCGGTCAGAAGTCATCAGTCTTCACTCAACCAAAGAAAAGTCCCCCTCCCATACTTTTTGTCTAACTCAAAAACTACTGGGCACCTCTTGCTCAAAGTACGACTGATCTGTACAGACATTCCTTAGCAATCCAGCCATACTCTTTGTTTGGCCCAAAACAGTGATAGTGTGTGCAAAATTATGCAATTAATGACAAATTGTACTGGGAAAAAAAGTTGCACTTTTGTATGCGTGCAAGGTGAGTGTGAAAAACAACTTCCACGTATACAAAAGTGCAACTGGTTTCGGTATCATTTGTCATAAATTGCATATATTCGTACACATTACTACTGTTTTGGGCCTAATAAAGAGTACAGCTGGATTGCTAAGGAAGTGTTGTACTGATTAGTCGTTATTTGAGCGAGAGGTGCTCATTAGTTTTTGAGTTAGACAAAAAAAGTATTGGAAGGGGGACTTTCGTTTTTGGTTGATTGTATATGCAGCATGTAGCCAGGGATCACGCCAAAAGACATGATACAAGCAACATGAGTAATTCTGCTGACCTGGGTATGGCGAACAGGGATCACATATGAAGGAAATTTACTTAAAAACTAACAAGTAAAAAGGAAATGGACCGGGGGAAAATACAATGCATATTAGGTTGAACATATATAAATTTACTAAGCGGGACTCAAACTTCCATTGAATTGGCACTCAACCAACTAAACTATAATATGGTGGCAGTATTCTTATGTCTTGGTTAAGAATGCCGCCAAATTTTGAGACAGATGATTTGCAGGATCAATTTCACAATACATTTAGCAGAATTAATGGTTCCAGACTTGTTCAATACCTGCTACAACAAACGTGAAGCTATTGGAGCCTGTGCAACTGCCAGAATTAGTTACGGTGCATGTGACTGTGTGCGATCCTACTCCAAAGGTACCACCAGTGGTTGTCACACCGGTTCCATCTCCAGAATCACTGCAAGTGGTGCTCCCTCCCGCAGCATTGGTGGCAGTTACGATAGGCCAAGTTACAGAGGCTGTAGATGCACCAACATCTGCACACATGGAACTCACCATTGGCACATTCACAATTGGTGTTGCTGTGTAAATGACAATTGATCAGTATCAATCAGTTTCAATTTTTTAACAATAAGACAATACGCGACTCAACCCTACAAATTTGAAATAAGAAGATGTTTTAGCCCTTAAAATCTTGCACAAAGACAGCAAAAAGAACAGTCAACTTTTCTGCCTACATGATGTCCACATTCTGTGTGCCAAATTCTTTGATGTTGCAAGATAAAGAGTTCAATGCATGCATGAAAGTGAATAAAGGCCGGTTCGTACTCGACGCGAAAGCGAACGCCAACGCGACAATTTGTGACGTCAGGGGGAGATTTGCGCAGCGAATTCGCAAAAGTTGAGCACATTTCAACTCTGGCGAATTTTGCAGCGAATGCTTTGTGACGTCAAATTCGCATCACATGAAGCGGCCTTTAGTGCGAAGATGTGCTGCGGACTCATTACGTGGGACTCGGTAACAAATATCCAAATAAATTTGAAAGCCACTGCTGCCAGTTTTCAAATCATATATGCTTTGGTCGAGTCCATTTCTTATTCTTTCAGTATGATGTGTTAAAGTAAGGATCAATGCAAATTAAAAGGCTGATTACTTTGAATGGTACAAGTTCTGGACATTAATCTGATGCAGGTATTCTAGAAAAACAAAATTGACACAAAACGACTGAAATTGAGTCAAAGCCCTGTTGCCAATAATTGGCATTTTCAGCTTACTTTTTGTTAAGATACTTAGATTCCGACCCACAATTCTACTCAGTCCAATTTGTTCATGTTTAATTCTTACCCAATCATGTCCGTTCACCCAACGATATCAGAAAACGACTCAGCGATAACGTTGTTGTAGGCATTACTTTTCAAACACATTAGGTCAAATACTTTCATTTCTTCCAAAGATAATTAGTACCTGATACAAGAAATGTGAAGCTATTGGAGCCATAGCATCCCTCGGAGTTGGTTGCACCGCACGTGATTGTGTGTGATCCTGCCCCAAAGGTGCCACCAGTGGTCGTCACTCCAGTTCCATCCCCAGAATCAGTACAAGTGATGCTTCCACCCCCATCATCGGTGGCAGTTACAGTGGTCCAAGTCACAACAAGTGTAACTGCTCCAACTGGTAAACACTGCGGACCAACAGTCGGCACATTGACAGTTGGTGGTGCTAAACATACAAAGTAATGATATCAGTTTTCTCAATGAAAGAAAAAATACATTCAAGTCTGTTTATAAATGGTCAATTTAGTAGTTACAGATGAAGTCCGGTTTTTTTTTTCATGATTTCTTCATGACTGACCAAAAAACCGCTAATTTGAATTAGCTTTATGTTTTTACAATTGTTAGAGAACAGTATTTTGAAAAGAACTGTAAGTAAAATTTGTCCATCTGTTCACAGTCACTACAGGGATAAACTGTAACTATCATAGCTTTGTCCCCACAAAAATATGAGTTAAAAGCTATGACACAATGAAAATAACAGGATGCCAAAGGGTAAACGGTTGAATTGCCGGAAACCTGTGCAATTGTGTCGCAAAAGTATTTTAATGTTTGGAAATTAAAATGTGGGCAGTTTGAAAGTTACATCCATCCACTGCGGTTTTTTTTGTCAGTCATGAAGAAATCATGAAAAAAAACACTGACTTAATCTGTAACTACTGAACAACCCATTGATGCCAAAAGTGTAAAGATTGTCAAACAAATGTAAAAGGGCTGTTAACAGTCAGTCAGTATCATGAGTAAACATTTCTGTTATGTAAAAATAGTTCATAATTCAAAAGAACAAAAAATATTGACAAAGATGATGTGCCCTGTTGTAGTGTGAGATTGTGACCATACAAGAGTCTTTGTACAGTGTCCGTCTGGCTATTTTAAAATAACTGCAAAACCATAATGTCAATTTGGAACTGTTTCAATTGTGCAGATATTCCTTTTCCTTGGCCTAAACCCATGTGAGTTTCATTTAATTTCAGTCACGAATCACTACACAATTGCCAATTAATCACAACGACATTTTTGGACACTGTGACCAAGTCACTTGCCATTGCTGTGTAAAATCCTGCGTGCTGTGAAGAGGGCTTCAGTTGGGATTGAAATCATTTGCCTGGCTAAGTATCAGTCATCATGGCAAGACCTCATCAGTTTAATGCTCAAGGGCAAATGGTTCCAATCCCATACCATTAAAGCCTTTTTTATACAACATGCAGGATTTGACACAGCTTGCATAACATAAACATAGACTTTATAAACTAACGTCGTGTGAGCCCTATCAAACAAGACACGAGAAATATTTACCACATGTGGTGCGTCCTGGAGTGGTGGTTGGTTCTGGAGTGGTAGTTGGTTCTAGAGTAGTGGTTGGATCTTGAGTTATTGTTGGTTCTAGAGTGGTGGTTGGAACTTGAGTTGTGGTTGGTTCTGGAGTGGTGGTTGGTTCTGGAGTGGTGGTTGGTTCTTGAGTGGTGGTTGGTTCTTGAGTGGTGGTTGGTTCTGGAGTGGTGGTTGGATCTTGAGTGGTGGTTGGTTCTTGAGTGGTGGTTGGATCTGCAGTTGTGGTTGGTTCTACAGTTGTGGTTGGATCTTGAGTGGTGGTTGGAACTTGAGTGGTAGTTGGATCTGCAGTTGTGGTTGGTTCTACAGTTGTGGTTGGATCTTGAGTTGTGGTTGGTTCTGGAGTGGTGGTTGGTTCTTGAGTTGTGGTTGGTTCTTGAGTGGTGGTTGGAACTTGAGTGGTAGTTAGATCTGCAGTTGTGGTTGGTTCTACAGTTGTGGTTAGATCTTGAGTTGTGGTTGGTTCTGGAGTGGTGGTTGGTTCTTGAGTTGTGGTTGGTTCTTGAGTGGTGGTTGGTTCTAGAGTGGTGGTTGGTTCTGGAGTAGTGGTTGAATCTTGAGTGGTGGTAGGTTCTTGAGTGGTGGTTGGATCTGCAGTTGTGGTTGGTTCTACAGTTGTGGTTGGATCTTGAGTTGTGGTTGGTTCTGGAGTGGTGGTTGTTTCTTGAGTGGAAGTTGGTTCTTGAGTGGTGGTAGGTTCTTGAGTGGTGGTTAGTTCTTGAGTGGTGGTAAGTTCTGGAGTAGTGGTTGGATCTGGAGTGGTGGTAGGTTCACGAGTGGTGGTTGGATCTGCAGTTGTGCTTGGTTCTACAGTTGTGGTTGGATCTTGAGTTGTGGTTGGTTCTGGAGTGGTGGTAGGTTCTTGAGTGGTAGTTGGTTCTTGAGTGGTGGTTGGTTCTGGAGTAGTGGTAGGATCTTGAGTGGTGGTAGGTTCTTGAGTGGTGGTTGGATCTGCAGTTGTGGTTGGTTCTAGAGTAGTGGTTGGATCTTGAGTGGTGGTAGGTTCTTGAATGGTAGTTGGATCTGCAGTTGTGGTTGGTTCTACAGTTGTGGTTGGTTCTTGAGTGGTGGTTGGATCTTGAGTGGTGGTAGGTTCTGGAGTGGTGGTTGGATCTGCAGTTGTGGTTGGTTCTAGAGTAGTGGTTGGATCTTGAGTGGTGGTAGGTTCTTGAGTGGTAGTTGGATCTGCAGTTGTGGTTGGTTCTACAGTTGTGGTTGGTTCTTGAGTGGTGGTTGGTTCTTGAGTGGTGGTTGGTTCGGGAGTGGTGGTTGGATCTTGAGTGGTGGTTGGTCCTTGAGTAGTGGTTGGATCTGCAGTTGTGGTTGGTTCTACAGTTGTGGTTGGATCTTGAGTGGTGGTAGGTTCTTGAGTGGTAGTTGGATCTGCAGTTGTGGTTGGTTCTACAGTTGTGGTTGGATCTTGAGTTGTGGTTGGTTCTGGAGTGGTGGTTGGTTCCGGAGTGGTGGTTGGTTCTTGAGTGGTGGTTGGTTCTAGAGTGGTGGTTGGTTCTGGAGTAGTGGTTGGATCTTGAGTAGTGGAAGGTTCTTGAGTGGTGGTTGGATCTGCAGTTGTGGTTGGTTCTAGAGTAGTGGTTGGATCTTGAGGGTGGTACGGTCTTGAGTGGTAGTTGGGTCTGCAGTTGTAGTTGGTTCTACAGTTGTGGTTGGTTCTTGAGTGGTGGTTGGTTCTTGAGTGGTGGTTGGTTCTGGAGTGGTGGTTGGATCTTGAGTGGTGGTTGGTTCTTGAGTGGTGGTTGGATCTGCAGTTGTGGTTGGTTCTACAGTTGTGGTTGGATCTTGAGTGGTGGTTGGATCTTGAGTGGTAGTTGGATCTGCAGTTGTGGTTGGTTCTACAGTTGTGGTTGGATCTTGAGTTGTGGTTGGTTCTGGAGTGGTGGTTGGTTCTTGGGTTGTGGTTGGTTCTTGAGTGGTGGTTGGTTCTAAAGTAGTGGTTGGTTCTGGAGTAGTGGTTGGATCTTGAGTGGTGGTAGGTTCTTGAGTGGTGGTTGGATCTGCAGTTGTGGTTGGTTCTACAGTTGTGGTTGGATCTTGAGTTGTGGTTGGTTCTGGAGTGGTGGTTGTTTCTTGAGTGGTAGTTGGTTCTTGAGTGGTGGTTGGTTCTTGAGTGGTGGTAGGTTCTGGAGTAGTGGTTGGATCTTGAGTGGTGGTAGGTTCACGAGTGGTGGTTGGATCTGCAGTTGTGGTTGGTTCTACAGTTGTGGTTGGATCTTGAGTGGTGGTAGGTTCTTGAGTGGTAGTTGGATCTGCAGTTGTGGTTGGTTCTACAGTTGTGGTTGGATCTTGAGTTGTGGTTGGTTCTACAGTTGTGGTTGGTTCTTGAGTGGTAATCGGTTCTTGAGTGGTGGTTGGTTCTGGAGTGGTTGTTGGTTCTGGAGTAGTGGTTGGATCTTGAGTGGTGGTAGGCTCTCGAGTGGTGGTAGGTTCTCGAGTGGTGGTTGGATCTGCAGTTGTGGTTGGTTCTACAGTTGTGGTTGGATCTTGAGTGGTGGTAGGTTCTTGAGTGGTAGTTGGATCTGCAGTTGTGGTTGGTTCTACAGTTGTGGTTGGTTCTGGAGTGGTGGTTTGTTCTTGAGTGGTGGTAGGTTCTTGAGTGGTGGTTGGATCTGCAGTTGTTGTTGGTTCTACAGTAGTGGTTGGATCTTGAGTGGTGGTAGGTTCTTGAGTGGTGGTTGGATCTGCAGTTGTGGTTGGTTCTAGAGTAGTGGTTGGATCTTGAGTGGTGGTAGGTTCTTGAGTGGTAGTTGGATCTGCAGTTGTGGTTGGTTCTACAGTTGTGGTTGGATCTTGAGTGGTAGTAGGTTCTTGAGTGGTAGTTGGATCTGCAGTTGTGGTTGGTTCTACAGTTGTGGTTGGATCTTGAGTTGTGGTTGGTTCTGGAGTGGTGGTGGGTTCTTGAGTGGTGGTTGGTTCTTGAGTGGTGGTTGGTTCTGGAGTAGTGGTTGGATCTTGAGTGGTGGTAGGTTCTGGAGTGGTGGTTGGTTCTGGAGTAGTGGTTGGATCTTGAGTAGTGGTTGGTTCTCGAGTGGTGGTTGGATCTGCAGTTGTGGTTGGTTCTACAGTTGTGGTTGGATCTTGAGTGGTGGTAGGTTCTTGAGTGGTAGTTGGATCTGCAGTTGTGGTTGGTTCTACAGTTGTGGTTGGTTCTGGAGTGGTGGTTTGTTCTTGAGTGGTGGTAGGTTCTTGAGTGGTGGTTGGATCTGCAGTTGTTGTTGGTTCTACAGTAGTGGTTGGATCTTGAGTGGTGGTAGGTTCTTGAGTGGTGGTTGGATCTGCAGTTGTGGTTGGTTCTAGAGTAGTGGTTGGATCTTGAGTGGTGGTAGGTTCTTGAGTGGTAGTTGGATCTGCAGTTGTGGTTGGTTCTACAGTTGTGGTTGGATCTTGAGTGGTAGTAGGTTCTTGAGTGGTAGTTGGATCTGCAGTTGTGGTTGGTTCTACAGTTGTGGTTGGATCTTGAGTTGTGGTTGGTTCTGGAGTGGTGGTGGGTTCTTGAGTGGTGGTTGGTTCTTGAGTGGTGGTTGGTTCTGGAGTAGTGGTTGGATCTTGAGTGGTGGTAGGTTCTGGAGTGGTGGTTGGTTCTGGAGTAGTGGTTGGATCTTGAGTAGTGGTTGGTTCTCGAGTGGTGGTTGGATCTGCAGTTGTGGTTGGTTCTACAGTTGTGGTTGGATCTTGAGTGGTGGTAGGTTCTTGAGTGGTAGTTGGATCTGCAGTTGTGGTTGGTTCTACAGTTGTGGTTGGATCTTGAGTTGTGGTTGGTTCTTGAGTGGTGGTTGGTTCTTGAGTGGTGGTTGGATCTGCAGTTGTGGTTGGTTCTACAGTTGTGGTTGGATCTTGAGTGGTGGTAGGTTCTTGAGTGGTGGTTGAATCTGCAGTGGTGGATGGTTCTACAGTTGTGGTTGGATCTACAGTTGTGGTTGGATCTTGAGTTGTAGTTGGTTCTGGAGTGGTAGTTGGTTCTTGAGTGGTGGTTGGATCTGCAGTTGTGGTTGGTTCTACAGTTGTGGTTTGATCTTGAGTGGTAGTTGGTTCTTGAGTGGTGGTTGGTTCTGGAGTAGTGGTTGGATCTTGAGTGGTGGTAGGTTCTGGAGTGGTGGTTGGTTCTGGAGTAGTGGTTGGATCTTGAGTGGTGGTTGGTTCTCGAGTGGTGGTTGGATCTACAGTTGTGGTTGGTTCTACAGTTGTGGTTGGATCTTGAGAAGTGGTAGGTTCTTGAGTGGTAGTTGGATCTGCAGTTGTGGTTGGCTCTACAGTTGTGGTTGGATCTTGAGTTGTGGTTGGTTCTGGAGTGGTGGTAGGATCTTGAGTGGTGGTTGGATCTGCAGTTGTGGTTGGTTCTACAGTTGTGGTTGGATCTTGAGTGGTGGTTGGTTCTGGAGTAGTGGTTGGATCTTGAGTGGTGGTAGGTTCTGGAGTGGTGGTTGGTTCTAGAGTAGTGGTTGGATCTTGAGTAGTGGTTGGTTCTCGAGTGGTGGTTGGATCTGCAGTTGTGGTTGGTTCTACAGTTGTGGTTGGATCTTGAGTGGTGGTAGGTTCTTGAGTGGTAGTTGGATCTGCAGTTGTGGTTGGCTCTACAGTTGTGGTTGGATCTTGAGTTGTGGTTAGATCTGCAGTTGTGGTTGGTTCTAGAGTAGTGGTTGGATCTTGAGTGGTGGTAGGTTCTTGAGTGGTAGTTGGATCAGCAGTTGTGGTTGGTTCTAGAGTTGTGGTTGGATCTTGAGTTGTGGTTGGTTCTGGAGTGGTGGTTGGTTCTTTAGTGGTGGTTGGATCTTGAGTGGTGGTAGGTTCTTGAGTGGTGGTTGGATCTGCAGTTGTGGTTGGTTCTACAGTTGTGGTTGGATCTTGAGTGGTGGTAGGTTCTTGAGTGGTGGTAGGATCTGCAGTTGTTGTTGGTTCTACAGTTGTCGTTGGATCTTGAGTGGTGGTAGGTTCTTGAGTGGTAGTTGGATCTGCTGTTGTGGTTGGTTCTACAGTTGTGGTTGGATCTTGAGTTGTGGTTGGTTCTGGAGTGGTGGTTGGTTCTGGAGTTGTGGTTGGTTCTGGAGTGGTGGTTGGTTCTGGAGTGGTAGTTGGTTCTTGAGTGCTGGTTGGTTCTTGAGTGCTGGTTGGATCTGCAGTTGTGGTTGGTTCTACAGTTGTGCTTGGATCTTGAGTGGTGGTAGGTTCTTGAGTGGTAGTTGGATCTGCAGTTGTAGTTGGTTCTACAGTTGTGGTTGGATCTTGAGTTGTGGTTGGTTCTGGAGTGGTGGTTGGTTCTGGAATGGTGGTTGGTTCCGGAGTGGTGGTTGGTTCTTGAGTGGTGGTTGGTTCTTGAGTGGTGGTTGGTTCTGGCGTAGTGGTTGGATCTTGAGTGGTGGTAGGTTCTTGAGTGGTGGTTGGATCTGCAGTTGTGGTTGGTTCTGGAGTTGTGGTTGGATCTTGAGTAGTGGTAGGTTCTTGAGTGGTAGTTGGATCTGCAGTTGTGGTTGGTTCTACAGTTGTGGTTGGATCTTGAGTTGTTGTTGGTTCTGGAGTGGTGGTTGGTTCCAGAGTGGTGTTTGGTTCTTGAGTGGTGGTTGGTTCTTGAGTGGTTGTTGAATCTGCAGTTGTGGTTGGTTCTAGAGTAGTGGTTGGATCTTGAGTGGTGGTAGGTTCTTGAGTGGTAGTTGGATCTGCAGTTGTGGTTGGTTCTACAGTTGTGGTTGCATCTTGTGTTGTGGTTGGTTCTGGAGTGGTGGTTGGTTCTGGAGTGGTCATTGGTTCTGAAGTAGTAGTTGCTTTAAACAAAAACATTATATTCATTATATAAAACATTATATTCTTTGTTTTTTTTCTCACAAACACAAACAGTCGTGTATACCATTTTGCACACACAATGTTAATCATAAAGCGATCCTTGGGCAAGGACGGAACACAATATTTTGGGGGGAGGGGTTGTTGGAAAAAAATTAGTTCCCCGAAAAAAATGATTGTTTTGAGAGCTTTGTGGGTGGTGTACGCAGTGGCAACCTTTTTGCGACAGCGCTTCAAAAAATTGGGTTCGTTTTGCGGCGACCAAAACTCAAACTTCAGAGAATACTTTGGTAGCACCCTGCTAACTGATGTTGGGCGCTTAACCTGCAATTCAGGAAAGATCTATACACACCACTTATTTTAGTGCTCAACTGAAGTAGTTAAAGCAACCACTCTCGTTCATGCGCAAAACATTTACGTTTTAATTGTTCCTAGGATCACTTGCATCAATTCAATTTAAAATGATTAGACTGGGTTTGTCAGTCTTATATTAAAGATAATAATATTCAATGTTGAAAAAATATTATGTCTCCCGGGTTGATTTCGAATAGAATAAATCATGACTCCCACCCCCTTTGTAAAATTGTGAAAACACCTATGTATTTCTTTTACATAATCATGCACATGAATATTCTGCCCAATTTAGTGCAAAGAAAATAATTGCGTCGCGCGAATCAACTTAGTTCGTCACGCACATGCACTCGGTGCGTACGTGCATGCAGTGTTTTCCCCAAAGTTTAGTTGTTTCAATAATAATGTGTTATGTTGGTTTTGTTCCCCATTGAGTGTTAATGAATTGTGATGGTGAATAATTCACATTTTGTGCTGGAAGGTGAAGTATACGTTATGTTTTATTTTATCGTCGGCACTGATTACAGTGCAGGTTATGCCATTTTGGTTACATGTCATCACTCGCACTTGCTTAAAACTCAACAAAATCTATCGAAAATATGAGGGTGTCCGATGTCACGAAAATGCCATCTTAGCAATTAGGGCATCCACACATGAGTGGCTCGTTGCTCATGCATACAAGTTTGTATTTGCCTGCAATCGGGGACCCCCTATTTATTGTCCCTATCTTGTTTGTACTCAAACTTTTTAGAAAGACCTCCCATATGTTTCGTACACGATCGTCAATTGGGGACCATCGGGAATTGGGGACCCTGTTGTCCTCTATTGCATGTATTGTTCAACGTCCCCCATTGAATGCAGAGACAAAGTCAAGGACACAGGCAAGAGGGCATGTTAGTGTTAGATTAGTGGCCCTTCACATACGCAAGTACACCCACCCAGCCTTGTTGGAGTTTGTTTAGCACATTTTATAACACAAACAATCAAATGCATTATACTCAACGCAATCATTTTCAGTTGGTGACTGTCGTGTACAAATTTCCCTGCTTTCCGTATTGTCTCGCACGATTGCGGACATTGAATCCTAAGGTAGCCAATCAGTGTAAGGGGGTTACCGCCAAATTGCTTTGGCCAATCCTTAGGCAGGGGTATGTGTGATTATTTCCGGCGCTGTGTTTTTGTATTTATTTATTTTTGCATTCTTTGTCACGGCTTCAAAAGATAAACATGCAAGTTTACTTTGAAAATAATGTCCCTCCTTCCCTGCATTCCTTCTTTTGTTTAAGAGTTGCAATTGATACGGTGCAAGAAGAGGAGTCATTTTTCGTGCCGAATAAGAAGACATCCAATCTTGTTTGGATATGGGATTAGCTATAGCTAACTTCAATAGGATGGGACATACATGCACATGTTGCCTATACATAAACCTCTAAAGTTTCATCATGTGCGAGATGTCATTTTGTAATGTAATAATACAGCGCCGTGATGTGCCACGCGGCCTGGTCCCTACTATACCTAGGAATACCTAACATACATTTGAAGAAAAAACAAATGAAACGGTAGTCCTCAAAGGACTGAAATCAAAGACATCTTAAAAGGTGTGCACAGACAACTTACGTCATGATGACAGACTTGCATGACTCGTGACTCGGACTCGGACTCGAGTCCGACTCGGGTCCCATTTTCCGTGACTCGGACTCAGACTTGATTTACTTTGATAAATGACTCGGACTCGGACGGGACGCTGCGGACTCGGACTTGGTCTCGCACTTGGACTCGGACTTGACCTGCGTGACTCGGAAATCGACTCAAACTGCCACAATACTCACAAGTATACATTGTATAGCTGAAATGTCTCTAGATATGAATATTTATAGATTTCGCTCACAAATTTCTGAACTGGAGCGCGCTATTTAAAACTCCTTTTTAAAACTATATACAGGCCTACAAATTTAAAGAAGCAAATGTATTTGTTACAGGACATTATTTTCCCTTAAAATTTGTTTGTAAAAGAAAATCAATATTTTGAAAAAGCACGTAACCAGGGGCGGCGGAACCGGGGGGGGGGGGGGTGCTTGGGGCATGTGCCCCCCCCCACCCCCAAGTTTTACCCAAGTGCCCCTCTGGCTGACTCAATGTGCCCCCGAGCATAAATGTGCCCCCTCCAGATGAAAACAAAACTTGCACTAAAATTTCGGTTAACTTCTTTTCAGTAACCATTTCCCAAAATGATATGGAGAGTTGGGATACGAACGAGGATTATGAAAACCAAGCCCAAAAACACTTACAATGCGCCCTGAAAATTAGCACATTAATGCGTAGTTTGCATGATGGCCGGTTTCGAAGAGCGCCCCCTATTTTGGAAGATGGTACCAGCCCCCCCCCCCCCCCCCCCCCCCCCCTCCCCAACATTTGAATTTACGGAGGCCAAGTGTCCGGTAAACAAAACGTGTACAAAAAAAACACAAAATGCTGGAAACGCTGCTGCACCAACGGAAGATGCCTTTTACTGAGCAAGTGCCACTTTTTGGTGAAGTCCCCCCCCCCCCCCCCCCAGTTTGAAAACCGTTCCGCTGCACGTAACTATACACCTTACCTCGCCAAGCTGCGTGCTAGCGAGTGATTACGTTCCATTCCCTGAGACTAATAGTCCATGAGCCAGGGGCTGAAATTATTTTTGGTACCATCTCAAGGGACTAATCGCCACTATGATTTTTCCTTTGCTACATATGTATAGATGTCAGAAAAGTATGATAGACTTTTGTAAGTGGTAGTTTAATGTGGAATTTGGGGCATTTTCTATGACGTCACTATTGGAAGCTCAAATTAGATATTTTTACATCAAACAATAAAAACAAACTTTATTTTACTCCATAAAACACTTGCTTGATGTCCTCTACGGCATCCCAGCATTAAATGCCTTTGAAAGGTTACACTTATTTCACCTGTATTTGGCTAAACCCTGTATTGCGACCACATGCCTAATGTGGCCAACATGTCATTGCATCTCATACGCCCAATAAAGGGAATGTACACCAAAGCTTTTCCTGTATTAATTTTCAAAAATGGCTGTATTTGGGGGTTTAGTATTTTATAGCAAACATACACGGACTCGTATGAAGTTTTGTGTTCGTAGATGGTGGAAAACCCAAGAAACAATCATTTTCTTGTAGTCTGGTTCCCTGACCCCTCTTTAAATGAAAAACAGCAATTTATAGACGCCGGGGAATTCTAAGGTCAGGGAAACAGTCTAGCTGGCTTGTACCCAAAAGGTGTGTAATCGATTGCAAACAAAATGTGGACTAACTAAATATGGTAAATTGGGGGCAGTATTTGGGGGTAATAACAGGTTTTTTTTCCAACTGGTCGGCCGACCAGCGTTGGAAATTGATACAAAAATACCACTTTTCTTGAAAATGACAGCAAATCAGGTGCCATGAGTTTGACAGGGTATGCTTTGGACTCGCGTTCCTTCACTAACAGTCAAGTACAGACAGTATTTCATAGCAATTTGGTAGTTTTATTTTTGGATGTTTGCAAATCCTATATATTCCCTTTAAACTGCTCACTTTGCTTTTGAAATTGCACACGAACACTATACTGACCCATGCGTGTTATTTTAATGAAGCGCATTGCATGCTGGGGCACATAATAAGTGGAGACAGTTTTTTTTTGGTGGGGGGGGGGGAGTGTAGACGGTTCGTTTAAAATTAGCTTTTGAATTATCAATGGCTTCATTCTACAGGTTGATGGTTGAGCAGAAAATGCATTAAAATTGGTAAAAAAAGTCGAATGTGACTTAAAAGAACATGTCCATTTCGGAGGGCTGAGTTTACTGAAGGCCATGGTTGTTTCCTTGTACTATAATTGGCAGGTTGTATTTTCATGAAACTGTAACTATTAGATCATATGACAGAGATACCTATAAAAGGCTTACATATCTAATATATGAAAAAAATGCACATGTATTCCCATAAAATTACTGCACAGAAAATGTCAGTTTTCATGGGGAAAAAAGTTAAGAAATGTTTGGTCTTCTTGACAATTGAATATGATTTTGTTGCCACTGCCAGTATTTTCGTACGTTCATCAATGTAATAAATATTGTATCTTTTGCAACCAGATGAACTTTAGTTTCTTCCTACATACTGTAAAAGGGCTTATCTGATTTACCAATCCCTCCCAAATGAGCTTAACTAATTATGAACATTTATTAACTTGAAAATGTTGCCTGTATATCACTTTTGAATCTGTTGAAACTCCCTGGCAATCATTCAAATTTACCCTAATTCAGAGTCAGAGTCTGTATTTGAGCTGTCATCAAGACAGTCTTGATCATCAACGTCATGATCATCTTTGCTGATTTAATTGTCACAATGTAAGTTGTTCCCTTGTTGACCTCCTCTGTTCTGTACTACAACCTGCCAAAACATCATCACTCTCAACTTATGACTGTATATGCAGTGTGTCTGGGATATGAGTTTACTCTGAAACACCAATAAAACTGTATAGCGCCCTCTATAATGTGTTGCTATGTTAACCAGACATGAAGTTAGAGGAGTTAAGAATACACAGTTAGTCAGAATACTGTCTGAATAAGTGTCGTCTTTTCAAGCCTCAATCATGAATAGAA